CTAGTGTTATAGTTGTTACCCTCTGACTACCTTGCCTGCTACCCTGCCCTTCTTTCCCCCTCTTCTTCCCTCCTTCTTATCTACTCCTTAGTTTCCCTTACTAGGGCGAATTGTTATACAAATCCCTATTTAATAATCTACTTTACTATCCTCTTTAGGTCTTCTTTGCTCTAGATTAGCTTGTCGTATTCCCTTTCTATTGCTTTTAGTCTCTAATCACTTCTACCTTCTAACTATTAAGGGTAGACTAGCAGTATATACTTAGGGTTCTAAGATTAGTAGCTATATTGGCAAGCTCTGCTTTTAATTCCTAGGACGTTTCTTCTAAATAGGTAAGATCTAAGTCTAATATGTTTAGATCTAATTTAGATAGCTAGGCTTGCCTCGGCCCTATTTAGGTCCTTATAGAGCTAGTAGTTGTATTAACTAAATTTGATTAGTGCCTTTGGGGTTCCTAGTCTAACTTGTATTTTGTTCTATTCCTGCTCCTATAGGTATCTAGCAATTAATTCTACTAGGCTTTGTTTCTCTCCCTTTGGCTTGTCTTCCTTTAGCCTTATATTTAGTCCCTAAAGCTCTTTCTCTAGCATTTCTCTTATTAAGACTCTATATTGCTCTAGGTCTTTGACTTTCTAGGGAGTTATTTATAGTCTGTCTCGCCTCCTAGTCCTAATATACTAGGCTTTTATCTTGTCTAGTGCCTTTTAGATAGTCTGTTAGGCTAGGTATTCTATTGTCTTTGCTATATATTAGTGTCTTAGTCCCTTAAAGTATTGTTTAACTAGTGGGATCCCTAATTCTATTTCTACTACCCTTATTAGTATAGTTTTGTATACTCCTAGGATTTTCTTTAGGCTTTAGGTTTAGGACCTGCTAACTAGTTGCTTAATCCTCTTTAGTGTTTTCTCCTAGGCTATCTATATCTGTACTCTATATAGTATTGCTAGCTTAACAATTGCTTTATATATAACTTTGGCTTTCTCGAATGTAGCCCCCTATATAGAGGCTGTAAGCCTATTAATAGATTGTATATTAGCATCTGCCCTCTGCTTTGCCTTCTTTACTTATAGTCCCTAATTCAGTTTTGGATCTAGCTAGATCCCTAGTACCCTAAGTTCTGCTAATAGTTAGGTTTTAAAGCCCTAGATAGTAATTGATTGCTTTATATTATAGGTTAATTTAGCCTTGCTAAAGTAGATAAGCTAGTACTTTTCTAGGGCGAATTTTGCTCTATGCCTCCTTACCTATTTCTTATACTCCTAGTGCTTCTCTTCTAGGATCTTGCAGTTGGTTTCTGTTGTCTTAGACTAGGCTAGGATGTTTGTATTATCTACAAATCCTAATGCTAATGTGTTTTTTGATTCTAGGAGTGGGAGTAGGTCTACTATAAAGATAAGGAAGAGGATTAGGGAGAGTATTAATCCTTAGGGGATTCCCTTTTCAGTTAGTATTAGGTCTAATTTAAATTTGCCTAGAATAAGCTATATTAATCTTTCCTATAGGAAGGACTAGATAAATTGGATTATCTAGTTTAGTATAGCTTTCTATTTAAGTATATATAGGAGCCTTTTATAGGAGACATTGTTAAAGGCTCCTAAGATATTAAGGGAGAGGAGGGTTGCTACCTAGTTTTAACTATAGTGCTAGATATACTTAATCTGTTCTATAATTAGTTCTATAGCTGTTAGTATTAACCTCTTCTTTCTTCCTCCTATCTAGCCTTTAGGAAGGATGTTCCTTTCCTCGATAAAGGTTATTAGCCTTTTAGCGATAATTTTTTCTAGCACCTTGCCTATTATATTAAGTAGGGCTATTAGTCTATAGGCCTTAAGCTATATATAGTCTTCCTTCTAGGGCTTCCTTAGCACTACTATTAGGGACTTCCTAAATAGTCTTAGGTAGTGTCCTAGTGCTAGGCTTTATAAAAAGATATTAGCTAGTGCTAGGGCTAGCCCCTTCCTATATGCTTTTAGAAGTTTGTTGTAGATCTTGTCTTCTCCTAGTGCCTTGTTGCCTAGAATTTTCTTTAGGATCCTTTTAATAGTTTCGGGTTTAACCTAGGTATCTCCTAGTATACCTAGTAGTAGAGTCTCTTATTCTTCCTCCTTTATATCTAATAGGTCTACTTATACTTTTCTATAGAAGAAGTATTAGCCTAGGGCTCTTGCTTTCCCTTCTATTGTAGTCTACATTTGTCCTTATTAGTCTATAATATCCGGGAATTGTAGTAGTATATCCTTATCCTATTTAGGTCTCCTTGCCTATTTAGCTATCCTCTATATCTCCTCTAGTTTCTTTATAATTATTCCTATTATAGATCTCTATTCTTGTATCTTGTCCTTCTTAATTTAGATCTTCTTTTCCTAGTAGGCTTTATTGTAGTTGTCCTATACTTCCTAGGTATAGGTTTATGTCTACTGCCTCCTAGCCTTCCTTACTACTTTAACCTTCCTTATATACTTACTAGTCTAGTATGTTTGCTAGTATAGTAAATGTTTCTTTACTAGGGTATACTTTCTAGCTATCTGTTTTAGGATTCCTATTAGTTCTTCTACTGCCTTATTAATATCCTCTAGCCTTAGTAGGTGTTTTATTAAGAGTTCCTCTAGTTTTAGGTCCCTTTCTAGTTCCTCCCTAATCCTGCCCTATTAGGTACCTTTCTAATTAAGCTTCTCCTCTAGTTCCTTTTCCTAATTAGCTTAGATATTTATCTCAATCTATACCGGGAAGTGGTCTAATAATTCCTCTAGTTCCTAGTTGACCCTATATCTTATAATCCTATTCCTAATCTAATATAATATAAAGTATAGGTCTAGTATACTACTGCTTCCTCTTGCCTCCTAGGTAATTAGTCCCTTTAGGGTAACAATTTCTATTCCTTCCCTCTCTAATATATCAATTAGTCTTCCTACTAGGAAGTAGTAAGCTAGGGTAAAGTCTAAGCCCTAGAGGGGGTAGTAGAGGTTAAAATCCCTAAGTAGGATTTAGTAGGTACTCCCCTAGATAACTCTAGGGAGTCTCTCTAGGGTTTTTAGTTAGGTACTGCTTCTTGATTCTAGTAGTAGGTTGTATATATAGTAGACTTAGAGTATACCTTAGGATGTCTCTACTTGAACTAATATTAGGTCCCTATCCTCCTATAGTATAGCCTGCTAGGTTTCTGTATCTATCTCCTTGCTAATATAGATGTATATCCTTAGGGCTCCCTAGTTGTAGATAATTAGGTAGTATCTTAGGTCTTTAACTGTTGCTAGTCTCTTTATATATAGGTTGAGCTAGGGCTCTTAGATTGCAATAATATAATGTTCTTTTAAGTTTAGTGCTTAAAGGAAGCTCCTCTATACCTTGTCTTTACTTTTGTTAACATTATACTATATAATGTTTAGTAATGTTACAATGTTTATTAGGTTTTATCTATATTATTTCCCTATAAGTTTTCCTTTAGTCTTCCCTTACTTTAGACTAATATTTGACTAAGCTTTGTCTACCCTGCTTCCTTTCCTGCAATATTAAGGTATCTTAGTCTTCCTAGTAGCTAGTGACTCTCTTGTGCTAGTAAGGCCCTAAATATAAACCTATTATCTTGTTTGGACCTCTTTTGTAGCACTTAGCTAGGTTGCTTCTATACCTAGCTACCCTAGCTTGTTATATATCTTTTTAGTGTATTGATTCTAGCTTCCTTTGCCTTCCTAGCTACCTATATTCTTACTAAGTATTCCTTCGCCTAAGAGGGGTGTCTTTTAGTATAGTATATATATCTTGCTTCTCCCTTGTATGCTTTGTATTCCTTAACCTAGTAATCCCCTATATAGTAGGAGTAGGTATTAGTTATCTTTATATACTTAGCTGCTAAGTATCTATAGTGTTAACATTTGAAGCACTATATTATCCTATAGTTGCTTCTGTATATCTCTATTTCTAATCTTTTAAAGTCCTAGAACAACCCCTAGTCTAGCACTATGTTAGCTTGCTCTATACTCCCTACCTAGATAATTAGGGAAGACTACTTCTTAGTCTCTTCGATTTTCCTTTTAATCTATACTACTTTTGTAATCTTTAGGCCTAGGTATATAGCTTAGTTTTGTCTCTATAGGCTCTTAATATCCTGTTCTTCCTTAAAGCTTCTTATTATACTATAGGCTATAATTATAAATTGCTATTAGGAGACCTTTACTGTTTTCCCTATCTTAGTTGTCTATTCTTTTTGTGTTTCTAGCTTCTTTTTGTCCTACTCTTATACTATAAATAGCTTAATTACCCCTTTACCTTCGTTCCTAGCCCTAATTACCTCTTTAACTGTAATTCTTTCTATAATCTCTTTCCCTATAAGTCCTTAGATTTCCTTTTGCTCCTATAGGTCCGTAATATAGACTCTAACTACTATCCTCGGGGGTTTTAGCGCCTCCTAACTAGCTACTACTGCCTAGGTGCGGTAGTTTAGGCTTGTCTCCTATTATTTCTTCGTAATCTTTGCTACGACTATGTTAGCTACCTTTATAATTATATAGCTTACCTAGTTATAGATTACTTTTAGTCCTCTAAGGAGTTCTAAGATTATTATTCTATATGCCCTCTTAGGGGTTCTTCTATCTTCTACCTTTAGTACCTCCTCTGCCCTAATATATAGTGCTTTCTATTCGTCCTCCCTCTCTTCTTAACTGTCTTCCCTTCGTCTCTAATTGTTCGCTACTATTTTTTTTATTATAGAATATAGAGGTTAATAGAAGAGGTTATATAGAAAATTTAGGCTAAGCGGAGGATGTAGGTGTACTAAGACTACGATCTGTATAAGGTTTAGCGGGGCTTAGTAGGGCTGGCGTTGCTAGCAACTCCGGCTGCCCCGTGCCACCCCTGCAGTTGCTGATATATAGCTAACCGCTAAGGCGAAAATCTGTCTTCCTTGTCGGAAGCCAGATCCCGCGGCACGGCACGATCCCCCAGCTCGCTTACTGCATACTGTATACCCTCAGTCTCCGTCATGTGCTGCTGCTGCTGCTCGCATGGACAGCTTTTCGACACTGAGGCCGGCGCAGATCAGCGTGCTCGTGCTGGGCGTGGGCCAAATCACGCGCGACACTTTCATACAATGCCTTCGAAGGCTCCAGCAAGAGGCCAGCGTGCTGCCTTTGCCTTTGGCCGACTTGGCCCACACCGCCATCGACGCTGACCACGCCTTTCTCTTGCCCAGCAACCCTTCGCCAGGCTCGCTCATCTACAGCTACTCTCCCTCGCTACCCTCAGCGCAGCAAGCGCAGCTTCCGCCATATGAGCTCTACCGAGAGCCACTGCTGGTTCTGGGAGTAGTCGACGCACGCAGTAATGCCATCAAGGACAGCGCGAAGAAAGAGCTTGAGGGCGCCTCGGCCTATCTGAAAGAGCGCCACCCACGTGTGGTACATCGTCAATTGTTAGTGCTTGCACGAGACGACAAGCAAGGTGTATCAGAAATATCCAATGCAATTGCTATAACAAACATTGAAACCCACAATGATCCGTCGCTGCGAGAAGCAATGTCGTTGGTATCTGCGCGCTTCCTTGTCGAGTTCTCTACTTATGCGAAAGCCGTGCAGGCCTCTCCTACCATTCAAACACCCGGCCAGACAGCTCGCAATCTGCAAAGAACAAGTTCGCTGCGGGACGATGAGCGCAGCGCAAGAACCGGCTCTGGAGCTGGCACGCCTGTCAGTGCTACCGTGTCGAGTCCCACGGAGCACGGAAGTCCTTCGCGATTTCCCTCTAAAGCACCGCCGCATCCTGCCACTTCGTTTGATCAGATTCCCGGAGCTGGAGCTACCAGCAATTCGCCAAGACCTGATAGCAGATCAAGCAATCAAAGCAGCAGCACGACGGGCAGGAGCAAGAGAACTGCCAGTCAAGATCGCGTATCCGTCCAGGGCTTTGGTTCGAGCACCTCACAAGGAAAGGCTCGTGTGAGAGGCAAAGCACGTGTCGGCATCGTGCTCGGGTCAATATACATGATGGCAGGCCATTGGAGTGAAGCTCTGACCATTCTCGTCGAGCACACAAACAAAGCTCGATCGCTTGGCGATCATTTATGGCACGCGAAAGGTCTGGAGCATCTCCTGGTATGTATGATACTTTTGGCATGGTCCGGCACCGAGTTTCAGGTGCCTTCACTCTGCGATCCAGTGGCAGAACGCACCGGATCTTCTACACTGGCTCGCTCAGCAGCTGATGCCAGACTGGCAGCTGAAGGCATGCAAAGGCAAATTGTTCGTCTTTCCGTCGTAATTCCAGACCTTGTACGACTGATTCTCAGTCTGTATCGATCCGGCGAAGGAGCTCTGGAGCTTCCCTTTGTCGTTCATTCCGAAGCAGCAGTCCGAGCATCAAGACTCCTGACCATCTTGATATCTGCTGGTGGCGAGCTTACACCAGCCAAGCTCTGGCCTCTCATTTTGAACTCGAGCAGATCACAGAACTCCGATCATGAAGACACAACACTCACACGCCAATCTTCCGGAATCGGTAGAGTGAAATTGCCTTCCAGGGCAGTAGTCGCGGACATATTAGCCCAAGCAATGCCATCGAATGAGGAAGGATTAAGTACCATCGACCACATCCGTATCCTCGCAGGGATCGCCTCGTCGTATGCTGTGCTTGGGTTTGCACGTAAAAAGGCTGTCGTCATCAAGGATCTAGTGATTCGGCTCACTCAAGCACTGGTTCAGGCCAGGAAGCTTGGAGCAGCAGAAATGGGCATTCATCCTGCTGCAAGTCTTTCCGTCGAGTCAGGCGCGGAGACGCTGCTATCAATTGCCGAAGAGAGCGGCGGTATCAACGATTTAATGAAAGATGCTTCGAATATCTACGGCGCAGCACTGGTGCCCGTCAGTCGATCTAGCCCTCCTTCATACATCACAAGCAAAGCTTTTGGCAGTCCTGCTTTGAAACGCGACCTTCTTCGAGACCTCTCGGGTTTCTGCGAAGCTTCACCTGACCCATACGGTGTGCTATCGCTAACGACTTCTTTGCTTCGAATCGCTGGCCCTTCTGCTGCTATTGGAGCAGCAATGGATGGCACCACTAACCTATTCACCCGTGAAGATCAGATGGACCTAGGAACGGTGATCCATCGGACTGTGGCTGTCTCGAGACATCTTGGGCTCACCGATGTCCAAGCTGTGTATTGGGATCCGTTCCTCGTGCGAAGGATAGAAATTCTGCAACCTGCGGGCCAGAGAGCAGTAATCGACAGAAGCAAAATTCACATGGCTGAAAAGGTCGCTGACCGACCTCTTGAACCTGGCAACCCATTCCTTTACGACCCAAGTGCCAGTCGACCTGGAACGGCGGCAGAGCAAACCTTTCTTCTCGTCCAAAACGAGGAATCAGAATGCATCATCACGCTCCAGAACCCCTTCGACATTCCTGTCGACATCGAGAGTCTGGAGCTCGTTACCGAGGGCATGGATCTATATTCTCACCACATGCCCACGACGCTAGGTCCACTGCGATTTCAACAAGTAGTGCTGATGATCTGTCCAAGGTCTGCAGGTACAACAAAGATTATTGGCTGTCGCGTCAAGATGCAGGGTTGCTACCCTCAAATCTTTCCCATTGTAGCCAGCGCATGGTCAGCAACGGAGCCGCTGACATTGAAGGACCTTGGACTTGCGGCGCGGCTCCCAGAGAATGGAGTCACGCAAGATCTCAAAGAGCTTGGGATTGAACCTGACGTGATCTCGGCGACGGTAATCGACGAGTTGCCCACGCTGACCCTTGAGAACACAGCGCAATTGCAATCGGGCCTGATGCTCCTCGAAGGGGAAAGTCGATCGCTGGAGCTTGTGCTACGAAACACTGGCAAGATCACAGCAACCGTTTTCGAAGCTACAGACACTGGTGATGTGTTACGCCGCGACGATGAACACAAGCTGAAGGTGAGAGGTCTAAAGCATAAGAGATCAAAGTCGTTCCTACCAACAACGACTGTCAAACCAGGAGACTGCATCACCTTCCGCTTTCGCGTGGAAGGAAGAGCTGGACTGTCGAAGACGCAAGCAAACTTCTACTACAGCGCAGCAGATGCAGGCGATAGCAAGCACGTGCGTGTTGTTTCTGCGCCAGTAGTCATGACTGTCAACGCAGCGCTCCAAGTTCACAATGTCGACATCACACCAAGCAGAGAGCACGATACTGATTCGGTACTCGTCACCTTTGACATTCGCAATGCATGGCCCAAGTCTGTCTTCTATGAGTGTTTCAATAAGATGGCACCTAGACCACAAGACATGGCCAATGCGCAGGAAGGTCAGCTATCTCCTGGTGAGATACGGCGTATGCAGCTTGATGTGCGTCACAGCTCGAAGGACACTGATTACGAAGACGACATGGATAGCGTTCGGAGGAAGTTCTTAGATCAGTTGCATGTGTCGTGGCGAGTAGAGGAGCACAGCGGGTATGTTGACCTTCTCAGCCAAGTGCTTAGTGCAGAATCACTCGACTTGTTACGTGGTCCGCCAGTCAAGCTGATGCTGGATATATCCGGCGGCGTGTCGAGTGCGGGTGTTGGCAGTTTTGTGACGATCACGGCGAAGTTGTTGAATCGTGGGAAGGCTACAGGACCATTGTCAGTCCAGCTCATACCCAGAGGTACAGACAGTGCGCGAGAGGAGAGGCGCCTGGCTACAGCGGGTACGCTGCGTAGGATGCTCTCGCCGATGGCAGAAGGCGAGGAGGCAACAGTGGAATTTGTGCTCTGCCCTCTGTTGGCAGGCAATCTGGAGGTTGACGGAGTTGCTCGCCCGGCGCAGATCGGGCGACATGTTGTCAATGAGGGATGGACAAGCAGGAGGACATTGTCAATAGAAGTGAGGTAGTCACGGCGCAGTGCACACCTCGTACCTACCTACTAGTAATCGCAATACTGAAGACATTGAAGCACGGCTTGTGTCAATTCATGTCATGAAATGTTGATAGGGCGCTCTTACCCTTGCCCACCCGTGCCTGCGCTTTCTCTGCCGATTCGGCAGCACTCGTCACTCTGCAGCGTAGGGCTCCCAGATTCCTAGAATAATGTTTTAGACCGGCATTCCGCTACGACTAGCATTCCGCTAGCCTGCCTAAGTTACGATCTTAGCAACTTGCTAAGACACAAATTAGGTATAGCGCTACTAAGATTCGCTTAACTCTATATAGTTATACTATTATATACTCGTAGTCTATACGTTATATATCCGCTAATTACGACTCTACTATTTCGTATTTTACGCTTTAGTTATAAGTAAACTTTCCTATTACTTCTATTACATTCGTAGCTTTAAATTAGCTAGTAAAGCAACGTACTATATATATATATATAAGTTTACTATCTTTTATAATATTAGATGCTTTAGAAAAGTCGTAGTTTGCTTTATATACTTTACTTACTTTCCTACTTATAAGACAAACGTATATAAGTTATATACGTAAATAGGTAGTAATACGCGGAGCGCTATAAAAGAACGTTATATTTCGTAGTTTTCGGACTATTTTTACTATTTATAGATATAGAAGTATAATATATAGAATTAAATCGATTTGTTTTTACCGTATTATATATACTAGTATTTATAAAGTAACGTTCTTACTAAGATCGTACCTTAAGTAGGATAGCGGAAAGTCGGTCGTAGCGGAATACCGGTCTAACCCGTTAATAAGACATTAGAGGAGCTCGAGCAGTTCTAAGCTTTATTCTAGGATATAAATTAGTCGGGACGGCTTCCGAGGGACCCTAACTAATCTTTAGTAAATTCTATAGTTTCTCGAAATACACTGTTTCTAGCATAACAATACAATAACAATACCTTTATAGATAATACTATACCTATTAAAGAGTCCTCGTTATAGGTAATATAGCGCACTCTAGATCGTCTAATTCCGTTACCGTTTACCTCGCCGCTAGCTATAAGAAGCTTACTACCGCGAACAGCCGACTGTATAGCTAGAACACTAGATTCCTCGCAAATACTACGACCTCTATAGACATAGGCACAACCGGAGACGCTTAATACAGGTCTATTTAATATAGAGATACAAGATCTAGTATAATAGGCCCTATCTATAGATATATACCGTAGTAGGGACTATTTCTAGAATCCAGCCTTTCTAGAGACATAACTAGCCTTCCTATAATAGCAGCGGCGACGATATAGTATAGAAGAGTAGTATCTTAGTAACCTACTTAGTATAATATTTAGTCCCTAAGAGACAGACGAGGAAGAGATAGAGTTAAGGGCACGGAAATCGCAGGTAGACACCGTATAGACCGCTACTCCGCTAGCGAGTAACTAAGCTGCTATAGAACCCTCTAACTCCTATACGCTATATATAAATATAGTAAGAATAGCAGGGCGGAAGGCACCTATTAAGAGCGCCGAGGCTCTAGTAAAGAGGAAGCATACCGCTAAGGATACTACGACTAGTACGAAGCCGGCTTTATAGCCTAAGCCGTTATAAAGGCGCAAACTAAGGAAGGCTACTACAATATAACGCAATAAGTCTAATATATAGACCGACGACTAGGAAGTATCTGTTAATAATGCTCTATAGCCTCTAAGTATTTAGGTTGAAAATACTTAGTAGGATACTAAGCAATCGCAGGCTATAGCTAGTACTATACGCAAAGCCGCGGGTCGACCTTCGAAGCCGACGCCTACTCCGAATATTGTTATAACCTAGCAAAGCGATTATCGTAGCTATATCTTCTATAATACTATCGTTATTTATATAGGCGACTTGTCTACTATCGAGAAGGCTTTACAAAGCTCTAGTAACAAACTAAGCTATTAGGGTGCACTATAAGACCCTATAATACACGATACTTACTAGAGTAGCTGTTTAGTTAGTTTGACCGCTTTAAAGCATACTATAACTAAGTAAGAATTAGCGCTAGACTTTAGTACCGCCGACGACTAGAGAGATAGTATTGCGCTATTAATCCTTTCCTATATTTAGGATAGACGCTCACTTAATATAAAGGTTAAAGAGTCCTTTATTAGACCTGTATTGTCGCCTATAGAAGTAGTAGAAGCGGCTAAGGTATAGTAGAAGAATAAGAAGTCCTCGAAGGACGACAAATTAAGCGACTCGGATAGCGACTCTTCTATAACTACTATAACTTCTTCTAATAAAGACCTTCTACCTTCTAGTTACCGTAAGCGTAAGGCAAAGCGATAGAAGAATAAGAAGAAGCGCAAGAATGCTAATAATAAGACAAAGGAGGCCTATATTGCCGAGGTTTCTACTATCTACGATAAGGCCCTAGAGATATTTAATTGCACGGATAAACAGTATTCTAATGCCGCTAAATACGACGCTATTTGTTACTATATAGACGACGACGGCTTCTACTACATTATGCTTAGCTTATATATAGAAGAATAGGGCCGATTAATTAAGGTAAAGAAGGCTATAAAGCATAACTTGCCTACTAGACTCGTACGAGATATTAAGACAGTATATAAGGAGGTTACACGCTTCTAGAAGAAGGACAATAAGGCGGCGAAGAAGATAGTAGTTATTAATAGTAATCTAGTATTAACTCTAACACTAGCGGCTCCGCTAATACAACAACCGCCGGCAATAGCTTACTACCCGTTTCTTAGTCCTTATAGCTATCTAATGCTACCGCATATCTAGTCGCTATTTGCGTATGCTCTACCTGCTCGAGAACTAGCTAATTTGCGCAGTTTACTACCGCTAGTTAGTATTGCCGCAGTACTAAAAGAGCGCTTAAGAGTAAAGGAGTATTGCAAGTAGTTAAGGCGTACGAATACGGACATAGCGGACGTTATCTATTAAGCCGAGATTAGACTTACTTTAGGCTATTAGACACTAGCTAATATTAAACGCGCTAAGCTTAACAATAGTAAGTTTAAAACTGCTGTTCTATAGTATAGATTAAGAGATTAGATAAAGGCGGACTTGAAGCAATATCTACGTGCTATAGAGCATAATATAGTCGGCGAATTAAGTAATACTAATGCTAAAGAGGAGGAAGTAGGTAGTAGTAATGCAACGACTAATAATAACGAGTTGTAGGTTATTATAGCTAAGCTAGCTTTAACACTTTAATATAGTATTCTAACACCTACAACCGTTAAAAAAAATCTGGCTATATAGGCGGCGCATCTTTAGATAGTATAGATAAGCACAGGTTATATAGATTAATTAATATCCTTCGAAAGTAGTACATTCTAACTATACTATCGATGTTAGTAATGCTAGAGACTAATGTCGGAAGTCGCTCGGACTCGCTTCGCAGTGTCGGCGAAACTCTCGGCTATACCTGCGGCAAAACTCTACTAGCTTTATATACTAGGAACACTATATAACACTGTTCTCTCTATATAAATAAGGGCGGCATCTTTCGGGATAATGCCGTCGGTATATTATAAAAAAAAATGAAGTTAATCGGATGCGTAGTTGTTTAGTAATGTAAATAGGTTAGCTAGGGTCGGCTTATAGACTAGATATCGGACCTCTAACGCTAGCTTAAGGGTCGAGCGACTTTACGAATTCGAGGAAATTCTATAGTTAGCTTTATAATATAATAACTACATATCCGATTAACGTTATCTTTTTTTTATAATGCACTAAATGCGCTAGTTTATATAATAGGAAAATAATTAATTAGTAATAGTTAGTAGAAGCAGATACGCTAAGTAGCGTAACCGAATTAGGCGGAACGCTAAACTAAGCTCGGCGGTTGCCGAACTTCCGAGCTAGCCTATAGATATAGCTTAGCGCTAGCTCTAATATATTAGCTATAACAACAGCGAGCAGGTAACGACTATATAATAGTCGTATCGACATACTTTTTATATTAGATTATAGTATAGAATAAGGGCTTTCCGATAATATAAAAAGTATATATAGAAGTGTGTTATATAGCTTATAAATGCTAGTATAGCTTATCTAATATATAACAGCTGCGGAATATTGCTATATAATTATAGCCTTTATCCTATTTCCGTACTATAAACCGTAGGAACCCTTCGAACTTCTATTACTAGTCCTTCTTACTATACTTCGGTATTATATTAGCGTATAATCGAACCTAGTGTTTAAACAAGTAGAAGGTCTTCTTAATAGGGTTATAATTAGGCGAATATAGCGGTAGGTATAGTAGAAGGACGCCCTTCTACTTATATATCTCTTCTAAGTGCTTCCTGCTATAAGTACTATAGTTATCTATTATTAATACCGATCGTAGCGCTAGGTGTATCGCTATTCGAGGCAAGACGCGACTCTTTATCTATAATACGAAGTTAGCGGTCTTTATACTGCCCTATTTAATAAGCGGCTCTAGAAGCTATCTATTAACGTCGTACGCCGGTAAGAGACTATATCGCTAACTATAATATAGGTGCTTAATATCTCGCGCCTTCCTACCTCTTAGTACCTATCCTCGAGTCCTTAACGCCGTTCTATCGCTTATATACGTCTCGTCGCAATATACTAGCTACTACGGCTATAACTTCTATATCCTCGACTTATATATTAACCTAGCGACTAGGTCGCGTTGCTTAGCGTAGCGCGATAGCATCTTATAAGTAAAATCCTCGCTCTTTAGAAGGCGCGAGATAGTAGAGGTCGAGAACTACTCGCTATAGCGATATAGTAATAATAACTAAACCTCCTCGTACTAATACGACGTCCGCGATAGCAACTTATCTACTACGAAGTCGCGTATATATAGCAGGACTACGCGTAGTCTGCCTACCTTCCTCGGCCTTATAGTACTACGGTTATAGAAGCGCTTTATAATCTTCTAAATTAAGGTACGCGACCCTTTATACTATCCGAGTAATAACTCTACTACTTTTAGGCTAGCCTAACCCTTCTTTAAGAGATATTCGATAGTATTGCAATCTTAGGTAGTAAGAGGCGCTATATAGTCGGATTGGCTTCGAAGGGTAGCGCTAGTACGATATACGGTCGATTTCGAGGAGGTTAGTTACGCTATATAGCGCTCGATTGTAGCTATTAAACAATACCTTAGATACGTCTATACTATGAGATTTGAGGCTTCAAAGAGGTGGAAATATATTAAGATGTCTATAGATGGATTTACTAGGGATTTTAGTAGCGGGGTATCGGCGGCAATCCCGACCAATTTGCATGGGAGAATATGCTTTGGAAGACCACCAAAGCTTGTCCGTCCGGAGTAGTGTGACCTCTTCGTCTTCCGTCCCTCATCGGACATTGGTGACGGCACACACAGCAGCCTCAATATGAGGTTCGGCACAACACTGGAGCGAGCAGTGTATGCTCCGTGGAAGGACAACTACATTGACTATGCCAAGCTCAAGAAGCTACTGCGTGACGACGATTCGGTGCCGTCTAGCCCCAGCACCGAATCCCGCTCCAACCGCTGGACCGACGAGGACGAGAGCAAGTTCGTCGACGAGCTGGTGAACGTGCAGCTGGAGAAGGTGCATAATTTCCACAAGGAGACCTACGAGAAATTACGCGACCGCACCGCCAAATGCGAGGCCAAGCTCGACAGCATTGCTGCACCGGAGCACGGCGCCAATGGCAACGGCAATGGCAGTAAGAAGCCTGTGCCCAGCGAGGAGGAGAAGACCAAAATCTTGAACGACGTGCTTTCCGAGCTTGACCATATCACCAAAGAGACCAATGAGCTCGAGAAGTACAGTCGCATCAACTACACCGGCTTTCTCAAGGCTGTCAAGAAGCATGACCGCAAGCGCGGTGCTTCATACCGCGTGCGCCCATTGCTGCAGGTGCGACTGGCTGCGCTACCATTCAACAAGGAGGACTATGGCCCGCTGCTCTTCCGTCTCAGCGCCATGTACAGCTTCGTGCGCAACTCGCTCGAAGGCGGCGACCAGGCCAACAAGGCCAGCGAGAATGAGGAGGGCAAGGAAGAATATACGAGCCAGAAGTTTTGGGTGCACATGGACAACCTGCTGGAGGTCAAGACCATGATCTTGCGACATCTACCCGTGCTTGTATACAACCCACAAACTTCCAAGGTCGCCGAGGGCCACCAACCGGATCCGTCCATCACCAGCATTTACTTCGACAATCCCGCCTTTGAGCTCTACACTCACAAGGTCGACCGCAGCGCAGGCTCGTCCTTGAGACTTCGCTGGTATGGGCAGCTCAATAACAGACCGGAGATTTGGGTCGAGAAGAAGACCGTCACTGAGGACGAAAGAAGCCACGAGGCTAGGTTCACCACCAAAGACAAATACGTTCAGCGTTTCATCAACGGCGAATACCACATGGAAAAGCAAATCAAGAAGCTGGAGGATCGTGCAGGTCCGGAGAGCAACGAGCTGAAGGGTATGAAGGATGCAGTGGAAGAGATCCAGGACTTCATCAAGACATACGACCTGCAACCTGTTCTTCGTGCCAATTACACCCGTACAGCTTTCCAGATTCCAGGCGATGATCGTGTCCGCATCAGTCTCGACACCGATCTAGCTTTTATTCGCGAGGATGCCATTGATCAGGATCGCCCGTGCAGAGACCCCGATACTTGGCACCGCTCCGACATCGATAGCAACGAGATGGAGTTCCCGTTCTCCTCGATCAGGAAAGGCGAGATCACCCGCTTTCCATTTGCCGTTCTCGAGGTGAAGCTGCGTAATTCGCAGGCCAAAAGGAGCGCAGAATGGATTGAGGACTTTGTGAACAGTCATCTGGTCAAAGCAGCGCCTCGCTTCAGCAAGTTCGTGCACGGTGTCAGTACACTCTTCGAGGATTATGTCAACACATTCCCCTTCTGGTTGAGCGACATGGAGACAGACATTCGCCGTGATCCCCAGCAGGCTTTCGAAGAAGAACAGGCCAAGAAGCAGAAGGAGATGGACGATGAGTTCGCCGTGGGTTCACTTCTCAAATCCAAAGCAAGTATTGGCAGTCCGGCACAGCGAGGTGAGCGTCGCGGCACCGCCGTCCTTAGTCCGGTCGGAACGCCTGCAGACAGCTCGTTCAAGCGCACGCCAAGCGACACCGACACTGCAAAACTTTCAACCTCCAAGGGCAACACTGCACATGTCGCGCCGACTCAAATGGACGATGTTGTGGAAGAACCAGACGATGATGAGACCGGAACTCACACGCAGCCCACAGGCCGAGAAACCTTGCCAGGCGGTCTGAAGAATCTTTTCCCCGGTTTTAGCACGAGCAAGTATGCTCAAGCCAGAAGGGCGAGGACCCAGCTTCCACCAGGAGTTTCTGAGCCCAAGGAGTGGATAAAGGACCAAGGCCCAGTCAAAGTCGAGGCCAAGGTATGGCTTGCGAACCAGCGAACATTTATCAAATGGCAACATGTTTCCATCCTCCTGGCCTCGCTTTCTCTCGGTCTTTTTAATGCTGCCGGCCCAGATAACACGGTCGGCAAAGCTCTTGGCATCGTCTATACTCTTATCGCCGTTTTTGCTGCTGCATGGGGCTATTACATTTACATGTGGCGACACAACCTGATACTAAAGAGGAGCGGTAAGGACTTTGACGCTGTTGCTGGTCCTGTCGTCGTCTGCGTTGGTCTCATCATGGCACTGTGTCTGAACTTTGGCTTCAAGGTGAGTCCAGACTGCGTCAAATCAGTTCTAAGGAATTGCGCTAATATCTTGATAGTATCGAGCCGTTATGCAAGAGCGCGAGAAGCAAGGTCCCCAGTCACTCTTAATACAGAGCGGCTACTTGCAGTGAAATGTTTATTTGTACATCTTAGATATACACTGAGCAGGATTTGTATAATGGATGACAAGCGGCATTGGCAGCGGCTTGGTACATCCAGATGAACTGCAGCAGCCAGATTCGTGCGTGTGTCGGAGCGCTTCGCAGTCGCTCGTTTGCAGTCCCAGATAAATTGGCTGTCAAGAGTGATGTGGGCCACGTTCAAACACTTGGATTTCTCAGAATTTCTAGGAGCTCACCGAGAACTTCCGGACCTGACACGATCAACCGCAGGTACGACTACGTCTCCTCCGCAGTCTCACTCGCACAGCATGCGAAAGAGGCGTGAAAGGAGGTGTTTCAGCTCGCAAACTGGCGCCGCCGCCATATCTACCAAAAGCTCCGGTGTCATTTCATGCAGGTACACGCTCATGCATACCGCGAGGGAGATCTTCCAAAGTTGCGACATCTACCTCCGACGACTTGGCTAATTCTTGTTTGTTCTGCGGTCTGGCGCTCTGTGCAACGCATCAATTTGAATCCATTGGAGATTCTTGTCTGCCGCTTCGCTTGAGGGCTGCTGAAACATCCTAGCAAGGCTTGGCGGGGGACGAACGGGTGCTGCGTTTAGGAGTCTTGATCTTCGCAATATCAGCCATGTGGTGATGACGGGAGCGTTTGTGTGCGTGCATCTATCGCGTGTTGGAGGTCCAGATGTGGGTGTGCTGCCGATTGTTGTAAGCGCCTCGTTTCTGCTGCTAAAAGACTTTCTTGTACCTCCACCAGCTGACCTTTTCTCCTACAAGCCCGTGGTTTCTTGTTCAATACTCTTACCTTGCTTGCTGTGCAGCATTTTCGTTAGTCTAGTTGCCAACTTACACTCTTTCGATGAGAGGTATCCTGGTGATACTTTGATCCATTCGTTCATCCCCGTTGCAACAGGAGTACGGAAAAAAATCGATAGAATCGATAGCAATAGTTCGATCAAAATTCAACATGTCTTTCGTCAAGATAGTCTCGGCCCTGGGATCGCTGGCTGCATTGGTCTCTGCCCACGGCTATGTGCAAGGCGTGGTTGTTGCTGGTACATACTATGAGGGCTACTCGCCATCTTTCCAGTGAGTCGATCAGTTCTGAAAATGTAATTCCGAGGTTCTGACACTCTGCACAGATATCAGAGTGCTCCAACTGATGTAATCGGTTGGAGCGATCCCGAGAACTTGAGCAATGGATATGTGGCTCCTTCTGCTTTCGCTGATCCAGACATCATCTGCCATCTCGACGCAACTCCAGGCGCCATCTCTGCGAAGGTTGCCGCTGGCGACACAGTCGAGTTGCAGTGGACCAACTGGCCAGAGAGCCACCACGGTCCAGTGATCGACTATCTGGCTAAATGCTCTGGAAGCTGTTCCGAAGTCGACAAGACCACGCTGGAGTTCTTCAAGATCAGCCACGGTGGACTCATCGACGGCAGCGCTTCTCCTGGAAAGTGGGCATCAGACCAGATCATCTCAAACAACAATTCCTGGGCCGTCACCATCCCTACTGGAATTGCAGCCGGAAACTACGTCCTTCGACACGAAATCATCGCTCTCCACTCCGCCGGTGACGCCAATGGTGCTCAGAACTATCCTCAGTGCATCAATCTCGAAATCACTTCTGATGGGACTGACTCGCCTGCTGGTACATTCGGAACAGCGCTCTACAAGGAGGACGACCCCGGTATCCTTATCAACATCTACACCTCGCTTGCCACTTACACCATTCCTGGGCCATCCCTCTATAGCGGCGCTGCATCGGCCCAAAGTCAGACTCCAGTCTCAATCACCAGCGATGCTCCTGCAGAGACAGGCACTGCAACTTCTTATCTCATAGCCAGCACCACTGCTCCAGCATCGTCGGCGGCTGCAACCACTTCTGCCGCACGAGCTTCTGCATCGAGCAGCTCCTACGCCGAGCAGACATCTGTCCCAGCCAGCTCTGCTGCTGATGCCAAGGCCACTGAGGCGTCTTCCACTTACGTCGAGTCCGCCGGTGCTGCTGTTACGGTGACTTCGGAGTGCACGACAACCATTATTGCCACTGTTACTGCCTATGATAGTGAGACATCTGCGGCCGCCAACTCCATTGCTCCATCCGCCACAGCAGCTCCCGAATCTGCTATTGCCTGGCTCGTCTCCGCAGTGCCCTCTGAGGCTCTTACATCGACCATCCCAACCACGATAGTGCCAACTGGGACCGCTAGCGGCGCTTCACCGACCGGATACTCCAGTGGTGAGACTGAGTGGGGCTCAAAGCCATCGAAGCCATTGCCTGTTGGCTGGACCTTGAAAGACTTGCTGGAGTGGGTGGCATACTTGATGAAGCAGAGCTGGTCTGGCAAGAGACATCACGCCCGAGACTTCTCTGTGGACGAGGAAACTGCTGCCATCTATGGCGAATACGAGCCACCAGCTCTGCCATACATCCCATAGATGGCACAGCATTGACGAGGCTCGTTGGTGGCCGGTGTACTGCTTATACGCGGGATTTGACATTCTGCAGAACTTCACTTCTTCTGATGATGTATAGATGACGATCTTGTATGATATAGGCAATGCACAGCGCTTGAGCGCATGTGAAGGACTCGGTCAATTGCCGATGAATTGCCGATGAATTGCCGTGCCGTGCTGTGCCGACTCGGCCTCGGTCGTCATGAGCTTTCAAATTGAAACTAAACATCGACATCGCTACATCGACATCAGAAGCACATGCGACAACTAGTGGCTATGCTGTCGCTCTACTAGACATTCCAAGGTAATAACACACTCGTTTCCATACTCTCTCTTGAGCTGTAGGATTAGACGTGTGGCACGCGTTGGACTGATCAGCAGTAACCGCATCTTATCGCGCCTCGAGTTACTACTGAGTCCGTCTTACTCTCTCGCCCTCACCGATCACCCCTCAGGACTACAGTATGACGGGCTTCGGCGATGCTGGCGATGCGAGTGCAATTCCGTCTACCAGTGTTATCCCGCAGCTTCACCGCATCCTGAAAGACCTTACCGATTCGCCATATCCCGTCTTGCTATCACCCGAGTCCCAGAAGCGCGCTTCAGTCGCACTGGTTATTCGAGTTCAGCCGTCATATGCGCATTGGCCCGAGTCAGCTGCACCTCAGTCCCCAGCTCAGAAAGCAGACAGCATCGACTCATTCTTCAGTCACGATTGGGTTCAGCATGGTGAGCCAGAAGTGCTCTTCATCAAGCGCGCTTCACGAAAAGGCGATCGGTGGACTTCGCACATCGCGCTCCCTGGCGGAAAGAGAGATCCAGAGGATGCAGATGATCAAGCGACTGCCGTTCGAGAGGCATTGGAAGAAGTTGGTCTGGATCTAGCCGAGTATGCTATCCCGTGCGGCAACCTTCCTCAGCGAATGGTCACTACGCACTGGGGAAAGAAGCCTCTGATGGTACTCTGCCCCTACGTCTTTCTCGTCACTACGCATGGTCACCCCAAACTCAGACTGCAGCCCACCGAAGTCGCCGAGACCCATTGGGTGCCACTACGCAGTCTGCTAGATCCTGCAAACCGTACTGTCGCCTTCGAAGATGTCTCGAGTCGCATGGCAAATGAAGAGACCGGAGTCAAGAAATGGATGCTCAGCGTCATTCTGGGCAAGATGTCATTTGCCGCTATCAGTCTCGAGCCGACAGATTCACTGTACAGCATCGAGACTCCAGTCGACTATGCCCACGAATCACTGACTATGTGCGACAAAGTCTGCTCCACCGCGACCAAGATCGCAAAATCGGACGTCTTCAACCAGCTTCAATTACCTCGCAAGTACTGCGCACTGCTGCTCTGGGGCCTCACTCTCGGCGTTGTCAGCGACTTCCTCGACCTCTTCCCGCCGCACAACGCCCTTACTCTCTGGACCTATCCGACCTTCACACCGCTCGACGTCCGTTTCGCAATCTGGCTGATGACCTACAACTTCAAGGAGCGCAAGCGTATTGAGCTGCAGTCCGGTACCGAGTTCAGCTTCCGTGGTATGAGGCCATCTTTCGGAGGCGCATCAGAGAGCGGTATCATGAGAAAAGTGGTGCCTATTTCCGACGTTTCCGAGTCGACTGTCTTCGTGGAGGGACCAGGGGAGAACGAGCGCGTTGATGAGACTGGTCTGCATGGGCTCGGCACTGGCATGGGAGCAGGAAAGGTCGCAAGCAAGAAGTCTGCAGTTGCGACTATGCTTGAAGGGTTAGTTGAATCTCTTGCGCAGCTTTTGCTTCCCAAGATCACTAACCGGGGTAGGTACTACGACATCGTCCGTCGCGCTGTCGCTGTTTCGTTGGCTGGTCGTGCCGGTGTCGCTGTGGGTCTGGGAGTACTGCTGTACAAGAAGTATTGGGAGAATTAGAGCAGATCTGGGCAAGGGGTTTCGGCGTTGGTTACTGGAGATATGCGCATGAGGGGGTCGGGTCTTTGCGTGTGCGCCTACTGGCATAGCGACGGAGAACTGCCTGCATATTAGAAGAGAATGATCCCACAAATACGAATGCATAAATTATACAAATGTCGCCATCGCCTCACCCAGAATATATTATACTGTACCCTCCACGTCGGGTTTGGTGGATTGTGCCCATCAACAATTAGCGGAGTTGAAGCTATTGGGTGAGTTCACCTTGGAGATCTTCCCTCCATAGTTGACTTGATCACCATGCTACTGGCGTCGAAATTGACATCTCATGGTATTGTGTCATTCTCGGAAGACGGCGAGAGAATCGCAGAGCAGGATTCTTTGATCGCATCTCTACGTTCGGAATACCAGAATCTCAGCGGCACGAAATCAGATATCGAACAGGACCACACGACCGCTCTCGAAATCCAGCAGGGTATGCAGTCGACGATTGAAGGCTTGAAGAAGCAAGTCGAAGTCCTGGAAGCTCGTTGGAAAGGCTGATGTCAGCTGATATGGAAGATATGAACGCGAGAACGCACTTCCACAGCTCACCGAAGACACTTTCTCTCCGTGCGTGACTTGATCATCGAGCTATTGGTATCGAAGCTAGGATCTGACGATGGTATACTAACTCTCGGGAGACGAGGAAGCGAGCAGTCGCCCTTGGTCACACACACCCACCAGTTCTTTCAATATCCTTTTTCTTACTGAGCTTGCAGAGTACAATCTAAGTTGCACACGATGGCTGCTGCCAAACAGAGAAGAGAGCGTGAGATGCCTCAAGGAGTTCTCAGACTTGTTATACTTCCGCATCAAGCAAGCTTACAATGCTCCCACAGTTCGTTCTTGCATATTTTGAATGTGTGCCATGGGGGAGAAGGCACAGAGGCGAGAAGTCTCCTTTTCTCACGCATTCGTTTGTGTCCTTCCGATGGCAGTGTCTAGACTGTGCTTTTCGTGTTTAGTCTGGTCTTGCTTCTAGATTGGAGTGAGTTGGGGGTGGTTCACACTACTGATTGCTTGCTTTCAGCGTGCGGAATGGAATGCGAGCTCATGGGATCGATTCCGTTATGTTTGGTGGTTGATTCATGATCGAGAGAGGATGGAGGTGAGTAGAAAGCAATGGACGTAGATGAGATGTAGGCCACTGCTGATTGCCCCGACCGCACCTCCTCTCGTGCTTCAAGCAGGCATCTTATTGAAGAACTCGCACACTCGCATTTTCTCGTTCATCGCGCAACACTACTGCTTGATGACGCTCTTTCTAGTAACCGAAAATCCGTCGGCTCGTAATGTCAAGGCATGGAGACACTACAGACTAGGAGCGGACGCGCGACTGATATTGCCGATGGTCGACGCGACTCCTGCTTGCAAGAGCTCCTTTGGCTTGATATACAACGACCGATCATAAGAATGGACCGCAAACAGCCGTAATTCACGTTTGCTGTAGCGAATGCTGGTCGGCAATTCATGAGCTGTCAAGAGATGGGATCAGGAGCCAGCATCTGGTTTGAAGCCCACTTCTTCGACATAAGTGGGATCAAGTACGAGCGTGCTGCAACGAGATATGAGACGCGCGCCATACGGTGAGTGAGAGGCGAGGCGAGGTACTGCATAAGCCACAGAAATATGCAGAGCGCGCGTCGAGCCCGGATCGAGTGGGCCAAGAGTTATATAACAGAGGCATGAATGAATTCTGGCCTGCAGTGGACACTACACACGCTGTCGGGTATCGTATGCAATGCTGTCGAAAACTACTTCCATAGAATGTCAGCGCTTCGCAAATCGGCCTCCGGTGGAGATGTGTTACACATCCCGAAGAGCAGCTCTAGCTACTATTTTCACAGACTCGACGGCATCAGAACTCACACGGCGCAACTGCCCCCGCGCGACTCGAAATCTCCCTCTTTCACTCACGCCCGATGCTCTTGATTTCTGTTCGGTTCTCAACAATAGGAAGCACAAGACCGCTCTTCATTGTCGCATGTGGAGCAAACGCATGAATCTGGCCTATTTAGGAAGGAAGTGCTGCTCGTTCACCAGTAGCAGAGGCGCTTCCGACGCTTGTGAGAGCGGTCATGGCCCATGCGTTTCCAGCCTCCTTCCTGCTCTGTATTTATTCCGAACTCCTTGGTCTCTTTGTAATCCCACCTTTGATATGTCAACACCAGTTCAGCGTTTGCATTCTTCTTTACTTGCTCAACTTCCACAACTTAAGACGATCATTGTCCTCAACCCCCGAATACCAAAGGGCCTTGCGCTCTTCAATATGGAGCGCAGGAATTGCCCTTTCCCGATGGCCTTGCCGCAAGATTTCGTCCAATACACTAACGATGCTGGCCATCACTCGTACTCGCAACCTCTCTTTGAGGTTCCACAAGACTATCATTATACCCAAGACGACTACAGCCAACGCAATAGCCACACACGAGAATATCAACACACTCAGACCGATGATCTAGCTGCCCAATCTTGGGCCGAGCTTGATCAATATCAATCCAATCCAGGTTAGTGCTCACCACATCTGTAGTTGTAAAAAATTGCCAATTGTGAACGGCAGAGCGGCAAGGACTTTGGCGAAGCGACGATGAGAATGCCAGCAATACTCGTACAGAACTTGCGGTCCTAGAAGCAAGGTCGCCATGGGCGGAACTCGCACGCGCCATGCAAGAGCAATCAGCATCGATGCAGAACTCCACTTCGGGGAGCTCTGGAGCTTTCAACTCGCTGCAGGCACAAGCAACGCCTCAGGCCGACTTTGGCTGGGAATTTGCAGCAGAAAGCAAGACTTACGAAGCACAGCAACATTTCGAAGCACAGCAAGATTTCGAAGAGCCGTCAGAAATCACATATACACAAGATCAGCCTGCTGCTATTCAGGGACCTGCCATGAACTTCCCATTCGGCACCCAACTTGGCCAGCACTCCCTCCGGCCGGAAGCCATCACCCAAACGTGGACCAATTCCTCGATGCCTCTCCTTCCATATAATGTAAACGCGCAACTCCCTTTGCCGCCATTCGATCCCTCTCTCGCAGGTTCTTCACTTACCAGCTCACCTTCGGCCAACTTGCCACGCTCACTGCCTTCGCTACCAGCCCTGTCCTCAAGGAAAGCTCGACGAGGAGGAAAAGGTGAGCCAATGCAACAATCCACATCGGCAGCTTCCATTCAGAACAGCCAAGTAAGCGTGCGCAAGATCAGCGGTCCTCGCCACAGTAGGGCCAAGGATGACTACTCAGTGGAGGCCTTCCGTGGGCTCACCGCGGCTGAGATCCTGCTCGGCGGCAAGGATGGGATTAGGATCCAATCTCACGACATTGATGGACCAGTGATCCTCAAAGTGGCTGAGTGCTTCACGAACGAAGAGATACATTACTTTATCAACCGTCTACGAGACCAAGAACGATTAGAGGCGCAGTCCTACGGCTCGACCACTAAGCGCATTACCAACTCGCTCAAGGCCTGCGCGCGGGGTGATGGTTACACTTCGAAGGCAGACTTGGATGAGTTCGTCCAGGTTTGGCGTGACCTACGCGTCGAGGAGTTTGCCAAAATTGGCAAGACTGGGAACGCTGTGATTCCCAGAAATGTACCAAAGATGAGTGCTCATGCAAAGGCTCGTCAGGCGAAGGGCAAGGGAAAAGCTGCATTGGCCGATGAATGAGCAGATGCAGATGCCGGGCAGGCTTCTTCGAACTCCAATTGCAGCCTCTCGAGCTTCATACCACGAGCATGGTCGCTCCAAGCCATGGGTGCAGTTCCTACACTTCAGCTCCAGGATCTGATGGCAGTCAATCGGCTACCACCTCTGACTTGTCGGCGCCAATAGCTTTCAAGAGTCAGGCCTATGAGCTGGGGCCCGCGCGTGAGGCCGAGCTAACTTCTGAGGGACCATCGGTGCAGCAGCCTGATGATATCTAGGAGATCGCATCAAGCTGAGCGAGTGGGCCTGGCACGTTTCATGGATTCTCTACTACCAAATCTCTCACGCATATAGGCGTTCACAAAGTTCTCATACCGAGCTCTTCCTTTCGTAATGCTCGATATTTGATTAGCGCGGAGAGCAGTCCGTTCGAGGAACCACACTGACGTAATTAATGCCTATCGCTGCTCTACATTCAATGCGCAATCACCGTTCGATGTACAGTTGTTTTTCAACGCACCAGCACCTGTCGATCCATGGGCGGCATTCTTCTCACAAGTGCCATTCAATCCACAACTACCATTCGACCCACAACTACCATTCGGCCAAGATCTGCCATTCGACCAACTTACCTCAGAGCAATTCACCCACCCATCGACGCTGTATCCTCAGCCGGCAAGTCTGACTGGTTCTAACTCCTTTCCGGCTGGCTTACTGAGCACATCGTCTCCACTGGCACCTCAGCCATCCAATCTCACGCGGCTGACAGAGCGCGGTGAGCCGACGCGACGGTCCACCTCAAACGCCTCGTCTCATAGCAAAAAGGCAAGCAGAGTCAGAGCGAATGGGTCCAAGCGCTACCCCCGGCATCTCAGAGACACGGACGACTACAAGGTGGAGGCGTTCGATCAGCTCACCGCCACTGAGATTCTTAATGGTGGAAATAGGAGAGTCAGGGTACGATCTCATGAGATTGATGGTCCTGCTATCATCAAGGTGGCCCTTGAGCTCTCCAACGAGCAAATCTATGCTTACGTCAATCGCCTCCTATGCCAGGAAGGGTTCGAGCCGAAGGAGCGTACGAACGGGCTCAACATGATCACGAAGCGTATCTCGAACTCTCTCAAGGACTGGACCGCGAAGGAAGGCTTTGTGTCCGCGGCAGAGGCGAACAAGTTCATGGAGGATTGGCGGGAGCTTCGCATTCGGAAGATGGCCGGAATCGGCATCACTGGCAACGCGATCAACCCCCGAAACCCGCAGAAGATGAGCGCCAATGCCAAGGGCCGACAGTCGAAGCCCAGAACTGGCCTTGCACCGGCTCAGTAGACAAGCGTGCATGAGAACAGAGCTGCTTGCAGAGAATGAAGAAGCTCAAACGACAAGCAAAAGCCCATGCTGAGACGAAACACCTCCTTTGTCGGCACATCGAGGAAGTGAGTTGCTCACAGCCTTGATGGCCTTCTCATTTTGCCACACATAAACAGGACAGGCTTCCCCCAAGAAAATAGGGTGGTTCGACAGCCTCCTGAGGTCCCAGCAGCCATCGGAAAGCGACAAGGTGATGTGGCCGACACATGCCACCATACAGAAATGTCTATCGTATCGAGTATATCTTTCCTGCATATAGGCATATACCAATGACATTTCTGGGCATTCTTTCTCTGTGCATCTCCCGTTCCAGTTGTGTTCTCGCACTGAGGTCGTCCTCACGTGATGATCGACATTTGATTGGCGCGGAGAGCAGTCCGCTCGAGGAGCCACACTGACGTAATTAATGCCTGTCGCTGCTCTGCATTTCAGCTTCTCTGCCATTCTTGGGCCTGACGCTCCCACAAAAGCAGCATGACGACGACGATGTGCTGTCCACCTGGTCGCGACTCGCCACATCTTCATCTTGTGCATGCGCCAAGTGGTCGTCATTGGCTGCATGCCGTTTGTGTATTACGCTATGCAATATGTCGCGCCATGCGCTCGGAGGACCATGGAATTTACTGTAGTGTGGCTGCACTATAATTAGCATAGAATTAGCTTCTTAGCGGTTTCCCACTTCTCTTCCAAAATGATACTACACCTCGTCGTCGCTATTTCTATAGTATACACCCCTCGAAGGTATTGTTAATAGCGCGGTTACTAGACTATTAGCTTAATAAGATTAAACGCCTATTCGACGAGGGCGAGTTGTCTAATATCGCTATCTCTAACCTACTAAATGTCGCTAGGCGCAGTATCGACAAGATCTATAACAATTATCGCCTATTTAGTATATTCTATATTAAAGACCTTGCGAGGTTAGGTCGTCTATAGTCGCTATTACTAATCTTTAAGGATATAAGTAGTATCGTATTGCCTAGCGTATATAGTCGCAGTTTAACTAATCTACCTGTTTCTATAGCGTATCTTCGAATTCCTTAACGACCGACCGTATGCCTACTAAGACGAGGTAGTATAGTATTTATACGACGAATACGATATTATTATTAGCTAGTCGACGGTATCGCGAGTACTAAAGAGGCGTAGCTAGACGAGGAAGAAAGCGATACGGTTTGCGGCGGAATAGAACTAGGACCTTCGAGACGACTTTAAGATAAGGCAAATAGCTATGCTAGCGTATAAGGTAGTATATATCGATAAGAGCGCCTCTAACGAGCGCACTAGATAGCGGAAATACAGATACGGTCCAGTTAACCGCCCTATCTTTAAAGAAGGGTCGGCGGTAAGGTTAAAGCGATAGAGTGTCCTACCGGCTATATTAGTTAATAGTTATCTTAATAGCACTATTATCTACTAAGGTTCTATTACCGCGGAGATCTTCGAGGCATAGTTATAGCATATAGTACTACCTTAAATAGAGCCTAGTATATTTATTGTTATAGATAATGCGTTAATCTACCGCACTTAGCGTATAAAGGATATCGTAGCGGCGGTAGGTATCTACCTTCGATACCTGCCTCCGTATTCGCTAGACTTCAACCCTATTAAGTTGTTATTTAACGTACTTAAGGCATAGGTTAAGAAGCATGTTAACGAGGCTAATTGCTTCGTAGACTTCGGCAAATTTATACGGTATGCTATTAACTAACTAGATACTCAAACAATAGCAAGATCGTAGTTCTAGCGAGTAGGTTATCGCTAATATCGACCTTGTAGTTACTCCCTTATAGTCTTACTTATACTAACTATTATCTCTAGCTTAGCAATACGGCTTCTTAACTCGTCTATCTCCTTCCTTATTTTATCTATAATAGCACGCGCAGTATTAGTAGCTTGCTCTTTTATTATTGCTTCTATATACTATAGATCTAGCAATGTTAGCTATAGTAACGAGCCTCTTAAATTAATAGCTAACGGTAATACAGTAGTCGGTAATACAGTAGTAGCGTCTCGTATAAGGTCCTCTTCTTCTTAACTATCGGCAACCTATAAAGAATTAGTTAAACCTATAGCGATACCTAATCGACATACTTCTAATACGCTACCGATAGCTATTGCGATCAAAGAGCCTAGAATCCGGTAGATTCTAAGCCGTTTCTATCGCTAGTGTTACCTCGAGATTATTTAAACTAGTGCCGCTAGTAGGTCGCTATTCGTATCGCAATCGAGTAGCGGTCCGGAGAGAACCCGCTTAGAAAGCCGGAATCTATAACGACTAATAGGGCATCACTACACTACTACAACAACACGTCTATATGCCCTCCTCGGTAGGAAATAATACTATTAGCTATACTAAATAACCTCCCGTTGTCCGTTTTAAAAAATATACAGATATAGTAAAGATATAGTGTTAGCAATATATTAGGGAATTTGCGACCTTCTACCGCTTTCTCTGCGCCGAGACTACCGAAATTTCGGCTTCTATAGTACTCGGCTTTGCTCGGCGGTTAAGCTTAGCGGGTCTACGCTTAAGAAGCTAATTTTAACTACTCTAACTAGGCACTAGCGCAACACTATAACGCATTGTTTTTTATTACTATAAGTATAGAGAGCCGAGACTATATCTATCTAATGCTCCTCTAATTTATACTATATAGAAATACGTAGTATTAGTGGAATAAGAAGCGACATTAGTTAAACTAAATATTAGCTATTAAGCCGCCGACCTATACCCGGAAATCCTCGCTTCTAGCTCGCTTCTATACTAAAACAGCGCTTCTGTAGCTAACTAACGAATAGGCTATCGTCCGACTTATTAATACGACTAAGTCGCTGCTTACGGACTTCCTTATTAATATATCGCCCTACTACGGCGATAAATCGAGCGTGTTAGCCTTCCTTAAGTCTATAGCGGACCTAATCGCTCAATTTGACCCTTCTAAGCTGTTTAAGTAAGAAGTCGCCTTCCTCGTAGATACGCTTAATATTAGCTATATCGGCGTGTCGCTTACTCTAGCTGCTAGTTAACTCTTTACGCAACTAGCTAAAGAAGCCTATTAATTCTATATCGGCGGTATAAGATTAATAGGAAGCGATTAAGCCGCTAACTAGACTTGATTGCAGTCTAACTAGTAGACTAGAAGCCGGTAGACTAGAAATGGCGCCTCTACGACCCCTACTATTAGACTAGCTATAATAGTTGTAGATTACTACTAGAGTTAGCGTTATTAGTGCGATAGCACGTCTACTACTACTACTACTACCTTGCTGTCTAAATAGATTAGACAACTGCTTGTCTCGTTGCTTCTATATCTTTAATACTAGTGCCGCTCTAGGGTCGTCGATTGTTAGCCTTCTAGCCGGATTAGCCTCTCGAGTCCCCTTAACCTATCTAGCGGCTATTTCCGGATAGATCTTGCAGTAGTCTTCTGCCCTATCCGGACTACTGAACTAGCACAATCTACCCTTGTTTAGACAGTATCTATTCTTATAGGGCTAGCGCTAAGCAAGGGCGTGTCGCAGGTCCGTTAGAGAGCTAGTTAGGTCGCTATTATTATCGTTAGGAGTCGCTTTATTATCTTCCGAGCGCCCTTTAGCTAGTAGGGCAGCTAACTGTTGCTAAGTCGCTATATTCCGTAGCCTCTAAGAAGCCTATTAAGTCCGCCGTAGTTGTTAAGTTATAGGCTCTTTAGCAATAGCGGTTAGCTTAGCTATAATAGCGAGTTTAAACTCAAGTCGTAGGCCCTTCTTGCCTTAACTATTCTAGACAGCTAGCATAGTATATACGCGCTTAAAATTGAGGTCTGTTATGCTAGAGCTACGGTAGAAGTGTTTAGCCTTTACCTTGTCCGTAGAGGCTATAATAGTAGCGCTCTTAAGACTAAATATAAGTCGGTTATTAGCCTTGTTGCGCTAGTCGTTAAACTAGTAGTCTACGGCCTTATAAGGCGACTCGTAGCTTAGCTTACTCGGATAGTACTTACTTAGTAAGGCTTCCTTCTACTTGTCCGTATATAGGTTCTACTATATAGTATATTCGAATACCTCTCGCTCGTTCTCGTCGTCTTTATCTTCTTCTAAGCCGTAGTCTTTATCGATATCTACTTCTATAGAGTCTTAGCGCTAAGAAGTCTCTAAATCTAGCAACTCGTTGTTAGTATTTAGCTCTTCCGGACTATTACTTAATAGTAGTAGCTCTTTACGTCGTTGTTTCTTAGTAGCGGCGGCTTCGAGGACTTCCTTCTTCTTCGTAGTAAGCTTATATAGTCGCTTCGAGGCTCTTAGTATACTAGCGTAGCAATAGAATAGACGAGAGAGTGCTAAAATGCCTAGCTCCTAACCTTAAGGCTTACTAAGAGGTCGTAAATGGATAGAAGTAAGAAAGGCTTTCGCACCGGATCGCATTCTACACCTAATTTGTATAGTGCGGTAGATACTCGGCAAAGACACTGATACGCGCTAATTTCCATCCCTCCGACAGCATGGCGCGACTTATTGCATAGCATAATATTCCCCACCGCCAATGTGACGAAACCTCAGAAGAAAAGAGTCTCATTGCCTCATCTGCTTTTCTACATTCCACACCTCTCTTGCTCAACATCTTGCAGGTAAGGCGTACAGACTACAGTACCGTGTCGACCAGCTCTCAAGCATAATCATAATGTCTTCTGGCAACCAGAAGGAGCAAACTGCACCGTTCGTGCAAGCAAACAAGCCAGACGCTGCCGAGTCAGTGGCACAGCAGCTACCTTCGGCCCATGATGTCACAGAGACTGTGAAGCAAGGCGTCAGTTCCCTGGCCACTGGTCTAGGAAATCTTATTAATATGGCCACCAATGCCACTGCGCCAGAGACGAGCACTGGAGAGAAGCCACAAGATCCAGAAGATCTCCATGTCCCAGGCGGTTTCGACGACACTGAGGGCCCTGTCCCAGCATCAACTCCGGCAGAAGCAACTCAGTCAAGCCTGCAGCAGAGAAACATGCAGTCAGAGTCTCAAGCCGAACCGCAGCGGGTACAGGACGCGAATCTTGAAGGGACTCAAATAGCACGACCGGGACCATCTGGCTCTACCTCGGCTGTTTCTGGCAGTCTACCTGTCTCGGCCCAAGCAGGTATCGATGAATCGGTGATTGGAGAACGACAAGAGAAGAAGTATAACCTCGACGACGATATGCAGCCATCAACAGTTGCAGGGTCTGCCCTAGGCCGTGTTTCTGGAGACGAATTGCAGTCTTTGCCAAAAAGCGAACAAGACGTCAACTTGGAAGAGACCGCAGCTGCTCGCCCGGGCGCAGATTTGGAAAGTGAGATGGCAAGGGATGCTCCTGTAGGTGTTGGTAGCTCGTCCGCAGGAGCCTCAATGCCAGGAGCAACAGGTCTAGGAAATGGTAACCTGACAGTCGGGGAGCAGCTTGCAGGAGGTGCGGAATACGTCAAAGAAGCTGCACAAAATGCCGGTCAGGCGGCATACGACCAGCTTCCTTCTGCTCAAACCGTCAAAGAGACGGTCCAGGACAATGCTCAGTACGTGGCAAATCAGCTGCCAAGCCAAGCACAGGTCCAGGATACAGCAATAAGTGCTGGTCGGACAGCGTATGACCAGCTGCCGTCCACACAAGCGGTAAAAGAAACTGTACAGAGTGGAGCTCAATATGCGTCAGAGCAGATGCCAAGCCAGGAGACTGTCCAGAAATCGACGGAAAACGCATACAACCAGCTGCCTTCGGCCCAGGCTGTCAAGGAGAACACTCAGTCCGGAGCACAATACACAAAAGAGGCTGCCCAGAATGCGGCTCAGTATGCATCAGAGACATTACAGAGTGGCAGTCGACGGGCCTCAGAACAGCTTGGGACTGTTCCGGCTCTGCCGACAGACAACCGTACAGAGACTATGCAGGCCGTGGCTGACGAGGTCATGCTGGGAGAATCTAGCCGCGAGAATCTTCCGAAGACTCTTCCCCAGGCCGAGATTTTGCAGCGCGAGAAGGATCGAGGAACATTAGACAGCGACGTTGGCGCACCGGAACGGGTCATTGCCAGTCACCAGACAGCTCAATCAGGCCTTCAAGCCGCTGGCAATGCAGAAGCTGTTCATGAAAAGAGTGAAGTTGAGAAAGAATTGCTCCAGAACGTCGCTCCGGCACCAGCGAGTGCGGAGGGTATTGCTGCTGGTGACGGCATCAAATCCACTGTCCCTGCTTCCGGAGCTAGAACCAATATGGTCGGAAATTGGGGTGCTGATGGTGCGTCTGCAACAATCAATGCTGATGTGACTCCTGGATCTACATATCCTGACGTCGGCACATCACAACAACCACAGAGTGTGCATGGACATGGTAGCATTCCAGCGGGCGGTGTGCACAATGGAGTGATTGGCCATGGCTCTGGAGAGTTGCAGCCCTCTGCAGTACCGTCAGCAGCGGAATCCGAGTTTAGCGCTACACGAGCTGCAGACGATGTGGTCCAGCGTCTCAATATCGCAGAGCCAGATCTTACTGCTGGCGTGCATAATGGCGTTGTTGGAGCAGGTTCTACGCATGCGCCATGAGCGGACAGTAAGTCTGCGTTACCTACAAGAACCATATTAGCATATCGTGGGAATTATGAGCATTGAGTTGGGATGTTGTATGAGGAAGAGGCCTCGGAGCTAAGGACTTGAAGACATTCGTATTGCGTCTCTCATTTAGAATATTTTAACGAGGGAAACGATACTGTTCTTTGCGTTTGGGTTGAGAATGCCAAGGCCGAGAAGCTCTACTAAGATTTTACTAGCAAATTAGCTAAATCGTCCTCTTTCTACGCATTCTTGTCCTAATACTAAATTATATAATATATTAATAGTATAGCTATTAAATATATAGTCCGCGGCATTATTATACGCTTTCCTTACGTTCCTTATATACTACGCTACTATACTAGGTTACCTACCTTCTAAGACTACTAGACTCGTAGTATTATATTTTAATAATAACCTAGACGTTCTAACTATTATCTCGAAGACCGGTATAATTACTACGATAATATATCGATAGTAGAAGTACTACGAGCTATTTAGTAGTAAGATATATATACTAGATTCGGACCCGCTAGAAGAGCTAGAACTAGGTAAGAAAAGGAAGAAAAAGGTTAAACGTCGAATAAAGAAGATAATAAAGATTATAGACGAGTAGCTACTAGAATACCTCTAAGACTAGCTAGAGATATATTTAGAAGAGATATATAGTAAATTATACTATAAGTTCAGTTTAGAACTATACCCTTCGAGCGTATAGCGAGCCCTTACTAATCGTCTTAAGTAGAGTCGTAAAGACGGTAAAGTAGCCCTTTAAGTCGCGAAGGAGCGTAATCCGATAGTAAGAGCTATATAGTATACTAGTAAAGGACAGAAACTAATACTACTACTATTACTAGTAGTAATAGTATAGGCAACCGAGGGTAATATAACCTATAATAATATAGGCAGCTATATTTAGTAAGATAGGATAACAAACAAGTCGCTTAGGCTAGTAACTAGAGCCCTATAATATAGGCACTATAGAAGTGTAATATAAATAGTATACTATACGACGTTAATAATCTATCTACTATATAGAAGGAGGCCTCTTTTATAGGCTCAAACCCTAGCCTATAGGTATAGGGCTAGTTAGTACTAGCTAATATCCCTCCCTTTCTTCGTATCTAACTAGACACGTTTTATATCGCGCGCTTAAAACAAACAAACAGTAATATATTATGCGTTACCTTAGCGTTCTTAGCTAAGGCTATTTTTAGAAACTCCGTAATAATACCCCTAGGGTAGAATTGTTCCTAGATTCTATTAATATACAAAAACAATTTCCTAAATAGCCTAACTTACTATTGCTTTAATATACTATAATCCTTACTAGTAATAACTATATTAGCTAGTAGTCGGTTCTCGAAATCTATTAAAGCTATTAGTACTAAAGTACTACTCCTCGTAGTAAGCTTAATTAATAAGGAGGTTAGTAGCCTTCTCCTATATAGCTTTCTCCTAATCGCGTAGATATTCCTTAAGCTCCTCCTTACTAAACTAGAGGATTTGTTTAACTTTATTCTAAATAACGTAACTTAACTAAGGAATTCTACTAACTAGGGCTTCGGAAATATAGCTAAGGCCTTCGACTAAGATAGCCGTAGGGAAAGCGAATAGCACGAAGGTATTTAAACCTAGAAGAGCGGTTAGATTACGGTACGCCTTAGCAACCTTAGAGACGGTTAAGTTCTCGGAGCTCTTAATCTTAGTGCTATTAATAACGCGAGAGTAGCCTAGGTCGATTAATATACGGTCGCTCTTAGCCTTTAGATTACTATATAGAAGGTATAGTATCTAAATAGAGACTTCGTATTCCTTTAGAGGGTTAAGGATCTACTAAGCTACCTCGCCTTCGTTAGGCTAACTATCGAATATATATTCGAGGTCGTCGATAGTAAAAGTTATCGTCGCAGTCGTCGTAGTACAGAGTAGCCTTCTATATAGCCGAGCGTATTCGGTTTTTTAATTATATTCGATTTTCCTAAACTAGGGCTATTATCTAAGAAATAAAAAATAGTAATTAGTATATATAAAGTATTTATCTAGGTCGCTACTATAGCAGATTTTCGAATTTCGGTCTAGGTATTACGTATTCTTTCTCCGAAAAAAATTTAGGTCGCTTTATCTATATACGCGTACTAAATCCCGATAGAAGCGGATTAGACTAGTAACAAAGGGTGTTGTATAGTCTGTGCGGGAGTTTATTTCTATAGTGGCTTATAGTGGCTAAGCTGAGTTGTTATACAGATATACTAACAACCCTTTGTTACTAGTCTAAGTGGAGATAGGAAAATCCGGGGCGGCCGGAGTTCAGACTACACAGTGTTTTGACACGCACAATATCATATCACGCTGCTCAAGCTACCTTCTCGACTTCGATAGCAGTATTCTCCTTTTCATCTCTTCCCGGGCTATGCGAGCCACTCGCATCGTCCTCATCAATTGCGATATCTCGCATGTACGCGACAACCTCATCTTTGTCGCCGAATAGTGCAGCTGTCTCCTCAAGCGGCTTGCCAAGAGTATCTGGAAAGTAGAACCACATGATGACCGAGCCAATGGTCCCAGGAATGATAAATGCAAGGTAGTAGTACCAGCCGATGTTGGCCAGCGCGGTAGGTGCAGACTGCAGCCAGACGATGTTCATCAACGAGATCATGGCAACGCCCAAAGACATCCCCTTCGCTCTAAGGTGCATCGGCCACACCTCACTGATGTAGATGAATTGCATTCCATTAAGGAAAAAATCATAGGGTAGCTCTATAGTGAAGAGGACAGCAACTCCGGCGCGCAAAGCAGCCTTGTTTGTGCCTCCGAGGTATGTTGCCACAATGCCAGCTTCAGTTGCGAGGACGACCATGCAGCCAAAGACACCGATGGCCATGAATTTGTTCCGCGGGTAGTGGTCGTTGAGGAAGCAAGCGACGAGATCGAGACCCAAGGCCAAAGTCAACCATGCGGCACCATAGAGGAGTTGAGTGGCCGTACTGTTGTGCGTTAGCGAACGGACTACATCGGATTTTGATACAAAGCTTACTCAAATCCAAGCTGCTTGTAGAGCAGAGGGCCGTAATTGTTGATGACAAGAATTCCCGAGCACTGGATGAAGCCAGTCGTACCAATCGTGACGAGAGCACGCGTCCTGTGCGAAGGCTTCTGCAAGATGTGGAGCCAGCTAGTAGGCAAGCTTTTGTCGACCTCAAGTTGCCTCTTGATTTGGAGAAACTCAGTCTGAGCGAAGTTGTGGGTTGGATCACTAGGATCATCATGGAGACGTAGGAGAATCTGCCTGGCTTCATCGAGTCGGCCCTGGAGGATAAGCCATCGAGCTGAAAGCAATGATGTTAGTAGGAAAGCGATTCGTTTGGAATGTATGACTTACGACTCTCAGGACACCAATACAACCCCAGCAGCAGGCACAATGGCCAAAAGCATTGAACGATGAATGGGATTCGCCAGACCATGTTTCCGCCAGCCTTCCAGTGGAACAAACCGTAGCCTAGATATGAGGCAGCCATATATCCAAGCACGAGAACTACTGCGTGGAGCTGGACGAGCGCTCCTCGAAGATACGGTGGGCATACTTCTGGCATCCAGATTGGCACGGCGGCCAGAATCATGAAGGTACCAGCACCGGCGAAGAATCGGAAGGCGAGAAACATGCCGATGTGAACACTGCCTGCGAGGATAGCTCCCGAGAGAAGGATTAGGAGCGCGCTCTGGTCGAAGTTAGCGTGATCATCGAATCGAATCAAATAGAGGAATTTGCAGCATGCAACTTACGATTGCAAGGCCTCCTCTTCTGCCAAACTTGTCGCTCCAGTATGCCCTAACGTATCATCAGCATCTAGGAATTGGTCGCAAGACACTCAAGGACTAACAAAGTAAGTGTTCCAATCACACCACCGGTCTGGAAGATGCCGTTCGTCGCGGAAAGCAGAGCAGTCGCATTTGATCGAGTGTCAAGCTCAAAATAAGTGATGAACGTTGGCTGGGCTGTTCAAAACTATCAGTGTCGTCTTGCTCCTGTATATACATGTATGTTTCCGAACTTTGACCACTCACCCAGCGTTGCACTAATGACGTTGGCAGCATAGCCATAGCACAGCGAACCGATCGAGACGAATAGGATCATCCACAAGTTATACCCATTGAGTCGCTTTTTTCCATGACCTTGGGTGCCGTCGCCACCTGCAAACAAAAGATCTGTAAGGACACCCATCGCTTGCGAGCTGAATGGATGGCAATGAAGAGGAGCTAAAGAAGACCTACAAGGGCTCTGTGGAACCTGGCAAGAGGGTGTCAATTTTATACTCCTACTCCGCTCGATATTCCTTCATTCGAATCACGGGCAAGCATGGTCAAGGATATCCATTGCCGCGACCCTAGCTGCTTATTCCCATGCAATGTGCTCCATGAGACGAAGAGCCGCGACGCCTCGTAGGATTCTGTACAAAAGATCTGGAACTTCACCCAAGCCATACAGCTCTCCCCAGGTTTCGAGCAGTGATATCCGGGGACCGAATATCCGGGGTTCCGTCACACACTCCTCCCCGCTGTTCGCGGGGTTTCCGGCCATACGTAAAATCGCCTTTTCCTAGTAGGCTACACGTAAAACTCGATATGGTGGTAGGTTCCAGTCCTATATAGATATATAGGTGCATATAGTATTGAACCGCGAGTCCAAATATTATATTAGCTAGTTTATCCGAGTATATAGTAGCTATAGGACCTTACTATCGCTATTTCTTATGTAATCCTTAGCAGGCGCGTCTACCTTATTCTAAAGCGTATATTCCTCGTGCTCCTCCTATTTCTTATGTTCTACTATACGGATCGTATACAAAACTCGGTATAGCGTATAATAAGGGCAAAAACGTAAAGAGGGTACGAGCCGAGCGGTTAACCGAGGCAGAGAGGGCAGAGAGGGTAGTAGATCGCGTCGTTTCGAGATACTACGAATTGAGGCTAGATTAAGGTCCTACGGTCGCAATTTAGTTACTAATATGCCGGAAATCTACTATTCCTACCTCTTATAGTGCTTATGTTTAGTTTCCTATTATATATACTCTATAACATTGCTGTCGTCGAGTTTTACGTATAGCCTACTAGGAAAGTGCGATTTTACGTATAGCTTAAATCCCCGAGCTAGAGCGAGGGGTAAAGTAGGCTAACGCAACCCCGGATATAATACCGCATGCACGGTATAGGCCTATATAGCGCGGGCCTTCTGCAACGGACTCGGTGAGATATAGAAGTCCGCGCCGTAGTATACGTGACTATAGAAAACGTGATCTCGTCGTCGGCGCGCGTCGCTATTACTAGGTCGACGGTATAAGAGGGATAGTAGTAGTGCGATTTCCGCTAGCATACTAACTATCGATAGCGAGAGGTAGTATAGTCGCAATTTAATAGATTTCGCACTATTTTAATGGAATTTAACGACCCCGCTATCTCTACTAATAGATACTAATTATATTACTAAAAATAAAGCTAAAGTTTATTAGCAAAATAGCGGTATAGCAAAATTCGAGGTATAGTTAGCGATTATAGCTATTTTAATAGCGTTAATATATATTAGAGGGCGGCGGTATATAAGGCATGCCGCTATAGACTATTATCGCGCTCGGAGGCGCGTATTGCTACCTATTTGTCGCCGGTAGTATCGGTAGAGGTATATAAGGACTATAAGTTACTACCGCGGTAGTATCCGTACCACTTACTACCGCGCTAGTAGTAGTAAGCGGCGCGGAACACGCGTTAGTACTAACTAGAACCGCCGGCCGCGGCTTAGGACTAAAAATACGCGTATTTGTCGCTTATAGTGTTCCTAATAGTACCTATAACAGTTCTACCTCTTTCTCGGACCTCTTACGCTTCTAGCTCTTACTCTATATCGCGTCTACCGGCAGTAGATTAAGAGGGTAATAATATTGCGATATTATATTGTTAGGTAATAGCGCTTGTAATAGCGCTAGCTTCGTAGAAAATAGCGCAACCTCGCGGTTAGGTCGTTGTTTATTAAAAGCGCGTATAAATAACTTAGTAAACTAGCGCCTTATATTATTACCTACTTTATAGAAGATGCAGACGGCGTCTCGTATTATAGTAGCGCGCTTAATGTCGTCGTTATTAAGGCCTTCTTCGTCGCACTTACGCTCTAATTTAAAGATTATCTCGTAATAGTCGTTTATTGTTTTACGGATCTCGAGATAATAGCTATCGTTAATAATAGCCGCTGTCGCCGTCGCTGTCGCGGTTATATCGGCTTATAAAGTAAGGTTGTCGGCCTTTATTAGAGTCTCGTAGATCTCGAGTCTACGCCCTTTAAACATACTAATCTAGTAATGCTAGTAACGCTCTTTAATAAGGATACGGTAGAGCTAAATATAATAAAACTAAAGGTAGGAGCAAAAGATACGCTATTGCCTAAAGAAGCGATAGTCGCAGGTTAGTAGACTAGACGCGTCGCACTCGGCAAGGGCGATAGGATCGTAGAATACCGTAGAATCGTTAGCGCGATTAATCTTAGCGCTAACCTTACGCTATATAGGCTATAGTAGGCGTAGAAGGTATTCTCTAAGCTCGTCGTCGTCTTCGCGAGTAAAAGGATATATATTAATAGTCTAGCGGCGCTCGATAAGGAAAGAGCGGAGGTCTTTGTTAGCGACTTCTTAGAATACGTATATTATAACGCTAACTAGTAAATAGTCCGCCGCTATAGGCGACTTCTCTTCTAATTTAAGGCACGCGTAGAAGCTCTCGTTTATATTAGTGTTTTTGTTTTACTCGACAATCGGTAGTATATTAAATATACGAAAGTAGTTTGCTTATAACGCGATATCCTTGCCTATTTCTACTTCTAAATACAGCTTGTTCTTCTCGTAGTCGGCGTTTCGAGGAAGGCTCGAAATAGCGGCTTATAGTAACTCTTTCGCGCCTTCGAGCGACCGACGATAGATAACCGCGGCTTTGATATAGCGACGCGTCTTAGCGTAGATTTTACTACTAAAGTAACGGTTAATAGTGCGCTAGACGTAGACGTAGCAAAGGAGGTGTTTAGTAGTAGGAAACGCTATTCGAATAGCTCGTCGCTTAGTAGCCGAGTCGTCTATTAGTATATAGATTAGAGACTACCTATACTAGTACCTTATTATACGAAGGAAGGTAGCGACAATATCGCTATTATTAGTAGGAGATAGCATATAAGCTACTGCGCGTATTATGCTATATTTGTCCTTAATATAGATAGTATAAAGATACTAACCTAGGGAATTAGTCTTATATATAGCATCTATAAAAGCGATAACTTAGTGCTATCGGAGCAGTTCTAGGCTAGTTTTAGACGCAAACACGATGCTATACGTAATCTCGCTATCGATCTGTCTTTTAACTAATGCTATCTCGCATTTGTAACTAACTATCGCGTTAAATTAGTAATTGTTATAATAGAAAACTAAAATCAAAACAAAAGAATCTAAAGTTTAGTATTCGGCCTACTAAGACGCGCTAGAAGCCGGACCGAGCTGTTACCGGAGCTTCTAAATTATCTTATTAGCTCGAAGCTAAGGCTCTACGGCGCTGCCGCTTTAAGCGAAGAACTTTAAAGTCCTAAGATTCTAGCTTTTCGTAAAGAATTCGTAGGCAACTAAGTCTAATATCTTCCTCTATCGATTGCTATCGATTTAATAAGTTAGACGCGATTACGTATCGATCTATTAGTTAATCGGAGTCCGGATACGTAGGCGCGACGGTCCGCTAAGCAGAATTCTAACCTTACTCTATAGTCGAGATAATAATATAAATTTAACTTACACTATTTATACTACTATAATACGTCTCTTTGCTAAGTTTGTTATACGAGTAACGCGCCGCCGAGTTTGCTAGACTTATACGTAGTAAGGAAGTTCCTTCCGGAATTAAGTATATCGTATTTCCGTAAGAATAAGCTACCGGCGTCCTTAAAGCGCTAGTACGCGATTAGGTCGTATTATGCCTTTAAATAATAGTATACCTACGAAGGGCGGTATCTATAGCAGATCTTATATCTAGCTATACTTAAGAGCGCGCCGCACTATCGGAAATTATTAAAGTTATCTAGTTAGTAATCTTAGTAGTGTTCTTTGCGACTAACGCGTTAAATGCGATATAATACTACCTCTTCCTCGCCCGTCTTCTTATTCTAACTATAGATACTAATAACTTTTATTATTATAAGACAACTACGCGCCGGCTCTATCTTCTTCTTATTCTTATTAAAGTGCCGACTCTTCGACTTATTAGCCTTCTAACCCTGCTTTTTGCAGAAGCGATAAGTATAGCGCGTTATCTCGATACTATCGCGTTTAAAATACTACGCCTTATCGACGACCTAGATATTATCGACGTATAGTTTAAGCGTATACTAATCTTTTGCTAATAGAACGAACGAGTCTAACGCGTCGCATAGGATATACCGCTAGCGCTAGTATTTAAGGTCGTCGACGTAAGGGAGATATACGAATATAGTACCCTCGAGCGGTTTTAATATCTAGGACTTCGTACTACGCCGAGGGCGTTTATTAGAGGAGTTATTACTAGTTTCCTTACTAAAATCGTCGCTTTCTTCCTTTCTAGGCGCGTCCGCTATATCCTCGTCGCTTTCGAGCGCGAAATCGCTTTAGATAGTCTCCGCTATAACCTCCGCCGCCGGCGCTAGTAAATTCGATCGAATAGAAGCTATATCGTACGAAAAGGGGGCAATATCGATAAATACTAGCAATCTTAGTAATAGAAACGATAAAAGAGCTAGGTCTATAAATACGGAAGAGTGTTAATAAAACAATAGTACGCGTCGCGCGTAGGAGAAGCTAGGCGGAAGTCGGGCGGACCTTCAACTATTCACCGACACCGTGCGCACGGACTACATACGCATGCGGTATTATATTCGCCTCCGATATCCGAGGATCTGGCGACAACCACGTGCTGGCAACGTGTGCGGGGTCCCCAGAGTTCGAGGCTTTTTGACTTTTCTTCTACATATGGGCCGCCAGCGATACATGTAGGTGAATGTCAGTCATGCCTATCATCAGAATTGAGGCGTTCGCAAGCCAAAAGCCACAAATCCAGAGGACCAGGTGTCGACATCTGCGACTCGCATTCCGCAGTCAGCTGTTAATCAGTAAGGAAATGATTTTGTTTCTATTGGGGCCACAAAAGAGTTTGTTGCGCATCTAAGTAGGAGCGAAGCAGAAGCGCAAATGCGACTGTATTCTGATTGACAGCATCCACCTTCTTCTATGTACTACCGATGCAATTCTCACTGCTTATTATAGCCGGCATTCAAAGCATTGACCTGGGCTGCATGCTGGAAAACCAAATCCTGAGCTTCGGCACTATACCTCAATCAGCATTTCCCGATCCCATGGAGTAGATGTGGCGGATGTGGCGTACTCATCCAAGTATATCGTGAAGCCATCGTCGTGATTGCGGCCATATGACTACCAATCTCTTGAGTCAGCGATATTCTCACGGAACGAAAGAGATCCCAGTGCCGATTGCAATTTGTGCAGGGCTTGCAATCACCCGATTGTCGATCGACGAGCTCCGGCGCCAATGAAAGCATATAAACGGTGCCCACCATGTGAGGAAGATGGGGTATGCGATCTGTAGATGGAACTCACATAATTCGAGTAGCCGAATTGCCAATACATGTCCGACACCTTCAGTTCAAGCGTCGTTGCCTGCCACAGCTTCATCACTGCCAAGCGAGTCTCGTTCGCCGCAGTAGTCTTCTTGAAGATTTTAAGACGATCGGCAGCGTTGAGCCACCCTATCTATAGGTCAGATCCATGTCGCGTTGCATATCTCCTTCTGGATACATTACCATATTCTTCGTGGACAACAGGTTTCTGTGCTGTTTCGCCAGTCTCTGCATGATTTTTGATCCATTGCACGGTCCACTCAACGGACTTACTCCACCAGTCTCTTCAAGCAAGCAACGCAACTCGTCAGCAAACGTGGTTCTAAACGAACAGCCTACGACGGTGGATGGACGTACGGATACGAGTGGAAAGTACCAAAGTCGACATTGGGTAATGAGAGCTCAGCCAAGAAGTCGCCGCCGTCTGTGCCGTTATAGAAGACATCGTCAGGGTCGAATCTGGTATACTGCCCTTCAGAGCCGGTCGTAACAAGATGATTGGGGTCAAGAGACTTGATGTAAGTGCTCATTTCATCCTTCCACGCAGTTAGCAAACCTGGTGTGCAACCACCTGTGTTGGTATCATTTGCAGGACTGCGTGGTAGATTGCGAGTGGGATCTCCGCCACATCTGGGCTCATTTGCAAGCTCCCCTAAAACAACGGGTATAATGGTTAGCAATGTTTCTGACAATGCTTGCTCTGAAGCACAGTGGTGAGACAGTGCTGGCATCATCATTTCTGACACGACTGCCTCAGTCGCACACACTCCGCTGGAGTCGTGCCTTGTACACAAAGGTATACTTACACGCCATAATCGCAGGCGAGTTCTTGTATCGAGAGACCATAGCTTTGATGTATCGCTTGAAGGCGTCTTTGATCGCTGGCACGCGGTAGAACTGGTCATAGTGAGCGTTTCGACAAACGAACAATATGCGTATCCGACACAAAGCCTACATCGTCATGATACGGATCTGGTCCTCCCAGATTCACAGTGTACACGTCCATGCCGCCATAGTCAGCCCTGGAGCCAAGTCAGCCTTAATGGCACAAGTCAAAAGCCGATTCGCGTACCAGTTGTTCGTCAGGGCGACAATTAGCTTGATGTCGTTCGCAAGAGCTGCGCTCACGACGTCGTCAAACGGCTGGAGATCGATCACGCTCTTGCCGCCTTGCCACCGTTGGAACACGATTTCGGTTTCTCCTGCGCCCTCTCCGCCATACTTCGGAAAGCCATTTGGCTGGTAAGTGCTGTTCTTGTCGTTGAAGCCCCATGTACGGATGACCTTGAGACCTGCCTCCTTTGCTGCTCGAAAGCCGACTTCTATGTCGCTCCGATTCTGGCTGAACGAAAAGTAATAAGCATTGCTGCCAGCGAAATAAAAGTCTTCGCCATTGAGCTGAAATTTGGTGCCCTTGGTGCAGACAAAAGTGTGAGGCTTTGGCGGCATAGTCGCAGCAATTGCCGCCATAGCTGACGCGATGAGCGAGAAGAGAGTCCATGAGGCCATGGCTAGTGGCAAGTATGGAATCTCAGTCCAGTGGGCTCGCAAAGATTAGGTACTGCGAAGAGCCCCAAGGCATTCTCACGATCTCGCCCTCTTTTGTACAGTGGAGGCTCTCGTCCGCGCCGTGAACGGTATACTTCGCCATGGACAAGCACAACCTGGTCATCAGCAAGGTAGTTGTTGTGTTCAGCCTGAATGGCAGAGATGTGCGAAGGGCAGTGTGTCTGCCGACGTGGAAGACTGAATGAGACCGAGTCGATATTGATGGCTGAGCAATGACGCCGTCGTTATTACTACAGTGGATACCAATTACAATGCACAGACATTCTGAAATTTACAGCTAGCGTTCTGCATGATCCGCGTCAGGAAATCTGGTGATCCCGAAACCGAAGTTGCCGACTGGGAGCTGGATTCAGGGCGGCATGGCGAGTTTCCAAGCATTATTGCCTCAGCGTGGCAGCCGCATACGCGTACCTTCGAGAGAGGCTCAAGAGCTTTCAGCCCCACCTTCCACCACGGAATAATAATAAACATGACATAACTTTCTAGTAAAAGAAAGTAGTGCAGCCGCGGTGAGGGCGACACTAGCTCGTGTTATAAAGTTAAGATTAATAATAGTTATATAGAGTTAAGGAAGGCTAATTATAGGTAGAGCCGTTGCTCTATTAGTTAGCTAACCCCTAGACTGTCACTTCCTTATTTCGTAATAGTCTGCCCTAAACAAAAGAAAAGGCACGCCCTTATACTATTATTAGAAATTTTCCTTACCTAGATACTCGTTATCTAGTAGGCTATCTACTACTTAGGTATATTATATATCTACTCGTTTAAAGGCATACTAACGCCTTAGCCTTCCTTTCCGCGAACTCCGCTTGCTTCTTATTAGCCTTAGCCTCTATTGCCGCCTCCTTACATTCTAACTAGGCCTAGACTTACGCTTATTGCGTTTCCTTCTTAGCTACTATCTATCGGTTAGTATATCGTTCTACGGACAGGTCGGTTATATCGGTCTATACTCCTATATAGCGGTAGAGTACCTATCCTTAGTTACTTCCGAATTTAGCGCTAAGGTCGTCCGTAAGCTAGGTAGCCTTAGTCGTTACTACTAACAAACCTCCCTCTCTAGACTTCTATTTAGGCGGGCTTGTATTATCTCTATTATCGGTAGCAGCCCTCGCGCGGCCGTTATCTCTATTTTCGAGTGCCTCGAAGTTAGCTAATAATACTCTAGAGTCTATAGGGTCTACGGAGTGTTCGTCGTTAGCGACTATTTACCTTACCTCGTACTATCGCCTAACGAACGCAACTCGTACGGCCTTAGGGTCGTAACGTACTATAAACTGTCGCTAGATAAGTTCCTATAATAGCTAGTTATACTTAGACTATAGCTTCTTCGTTAAGTTCTTAACCTTCTTAGGTGCTCGCTCGGTGCCGTCGTTAGCTATGTTTCTCTATATAACTAGGTCGATATTAAGTGTCTTATTCGGCGCTAGATAGAGTATATTAACCTTAATGTCTCGTATTATATCTCTCTACTCTCTAAGTATCTTATTACGTTTATTCTTTTTCTTAGGCGATAGTTTAGCTAGCTCTACCCTCGAAGTCCGATCCTTAGTAGGCTAAGCCGTTAGGGCTCTAGCTAGGGCTCTCTTCTTATCTAACGACGTCGTCTCTATTATAGGCGATTCCTTTAGAGTAACGGGTATCGCCTTCTTAGCCTTCTTCGTTAGCCGAGGAGTTAGAGTTACCTCGTCTTTATCGACAAGTTAGCCCTTACCCTTATTCTTTCTCTTCTTAGTACTAGATTTCGATAGCGTCTCCTCGTTAGCGTTAAATAGCGTAAACGATAGATAGGCGTTAACTAGTATAAACGATAGAACCGGTACCTTATTCTATAAGATAGGTTCTAGGTCGGAGATAGTCTCGTTATTTCCCTTATTCTTGTTATCTAAGATTAAGATAGGTTCTATATCGGCGACAGGCTCGTTATCTAGGACAGGCTCTATTAATACTGCTACTATACTTCGGAATCTAGTAACTAGGTCCCTCGTATCGCTGTCGTTGTTAGGCTCGTTAAGATAGTTAGTAATATCGCTATTATTGTTTTCGCTATATCGATAGGCGTCGAAGCTTATATCTAAAAGGTTGTCGAAGGTATAGTCGCTAGCGTTACCGAAGTTAGCGTTAGCGACGTTGCCTAAGGTAGTATCGTTAGTAGCGGCTATTTCGCTATTAGCCTCGGCGGTATGCGTAAGGAGGTCGTTAGGTAGAGCTATATCGCGTATATTAGACGTATCGCGCGGTAGCGGTAGCGTTTCCTATTTCCTATCGTATTCTATTGCTTTGCGCTACTAGAAACAGTATCGAATGTTATAAGCAAGCTCTCGTATTAGCGATAGTAATATGTTCGCGAAAGTTATTATTATAGTAAAGTTGCTATAGCGAAGTTGTTATTAAAATAAAGTAAACTTAGTATACGCACGCGCCTAGTATATACGCTCCTACCTATTATAGAAGTAAAGTAAACTACGTAGAAGCTACGCGACCCGTTATTAGAGGAAATGTACGTACGGTAAGTCTATTATGTAATGCTCCGTTGCTATTCTATCGGTAGCGACGATCGTAGGCCTTTACTATCGTTAGTAGAATGCCTTCTACTCGTATCTATTCGTCCGCTCTAGCTTCTGCGTTCTTCTATCTAACTAGATATTCTACTACCTCTTTCCTATACCGACCGACTCGTCGGACTCGTCGGTCTCTTAGCGCTTCTATTTCTAGTAGGGCGTCTCCCTATTCGATACGTATCCTTAAGAGTTGCCTCGTTGCTCGCTTATACGGGTCTTTAGTATTAGAATAAGGCTCGAGTTCCGTAATAGAGACTACTAGGTATATCTTCTATGTTTTCGGCAGGTTAATCTAGTAGGCTAGTCCGGTGCTTATAACCTTCGTTACCTTATATAGTCCGATCCTTAGAGGCGTAAGCTTTCGGTTACTAACTCCTAGGATAGCGTAATTCTTAAGCTATAAATAGACTATATCGCCTACTACTAGCTTCTAGGCAACATGCTAAGAGTCGTACCGTTGCTTTATAGCGGCCTATATATAGGCGATATTGTTCTCTGCCTTAGCTTAGTAGATATCCCGTTCCTTTACTAAATCCGTCTCGCCCGTCGTTACTATTTAGGCTAGTTCCCTAGGGTTGAAACCTATTAACACCTAGTTCGGTAACATACTAGTTAAGGCGTTAACTAAATTATTAAGAACTAGCTGCATATGCGGCGTTATGTATTCTAATTCTAGATCTCTATTAGGATGTTAGGTAAGGAAGTATCGTAGGGCAATCTCGACGGTCTAGTTCGTTCTCTTAGACTAGCTATTAGCCTATAGGTAATAGGCAGTCGTTATTAGAAGCTTAACGTTTATCCGCTTAAAAATAGCCTTCTATATCTCGGACGTAAACTTCGGGTCTCTATCGGAGATAATTACGGTCGGTAGGCCCTAATTGTATTAGAATAGCTCGTCGAGTAAGCGGTTAGCCTAAGCCTCCGCTAAGTACGCATCGTTACTAGTAATTAGGAGTACCTATTTCGTATACTTATCCGTTACTATAAGTATAGCGTTAGTTTCCTAAGCGGAAAGGGATACTATAAAGTTAATCGTAATTGTATAGAAGGGTACTAGTAGGGATAGTATAGGATTTAAGGACCTATACGGCTTGTGTCGCTTAGTCTACAACTCTAAGCAGTCCTAATAGTAACTTAGATACTTTTTTAGTCTCTTAGCTAGTTTCCGGATGTAGTACTAGTTATTTATATAGATATAGGCACGATAAAAGCCGATATAGTATTAGTTATCGTATATACTACTAAAAATGTTACCCTCTAATGCCTTTAGGATGCATAATCGTTAGTCGCCTAAATAGGGCTTATCGAGCTATACTAGGCCTTCGTCGTCGACTAAGAAGCTAGTAGAGCCTAGTTCCGCGTTCTATACTATTACTTTAATATTACTCTAGTATTTATCTTCTTCGTATGCTTCGATAAGCTATTACTTAAATACGTCGTCTATTTCTAGCATTATTACTCCGCAAACTAGTTCGTCGAATACGTCGCTCTCTAAAAGATAATCGTCTATTGTTTCTAGGCGCGATAAGGCGTCTAGTACGATATGTTCTCGCCCTAGCTTATAGACTACCTTTAGTAGGAAAAGGGAAAGATATTGCAACAATCTCGTTAGTCGGTTATTAAGCTTATTAACTAATAACGAAGTTAAGGCAGTCTAGCTTACGATCCCTAGCGTTACCGCGTAATCTGTAAGTACTATTACTACTAACTCGCATGCCTCGACTATCTGTCGTACGCGTTTAATCGTCTATACTAGGTAGGCGACCTCTAATTCGGTCGGCTAGTACTGTCGCTCCGTACTAGAAAGAGTTTTTAACAAAAACAAAATTAGTTACGTCTTTGTCCTACTAGGATTTTTAGTAATAGCGTCGCCCTCGACGTAGGCTACTATTACGCTAAAGCCTCGTTTCTTAGACGCGTCGATATAGATATATAGCGGCCGGTATCTCGCGAAATAATATAGTATCGTTAGCTTAGTAAAGGACGGAAACTAATACTACTACTACTACCTATAGTAATAGTATAGGCTACCGAGGGTAATATAACCTATAGCAATATAGGCAGCTATATTTAGCATAATAGGATAACAAGACGGTTACTTAGGCTAATAACTAGAGCCCTGCAATATAGGCATTATAGAAGTGTAACATAAACAATGTACTATACGAGGTTAGTGCTCTATCTATAATATAGAAAGAGGCCTCTTATATAGGCTCAAAACTTAGCCTAGGTATATAGGGACTTAGCCTAGGTATATAGGGCCGGTTACTAGCTAATATCCCTCCCTTTCTTCGTATCTAACTAGACACGCTTTACATT